ATTTTTGTGGGGATTTTTTTTTCTCAATTTTTATTTTATTCTTTGCTGGGGGTGGCATGTGTCAGACCTGGCTTTGATCAAAGTTTGTTCTAGTTATTGTAATGTAGTACTCCGGTGAGGGCACAAAATATTACATTATTAAATGATCAGACAATCGGACGTTCAAACGGACATATGACTGATCACAATGTTAATGAACTAAGGCTGGACTTCGGAAATAAATGCTTAAGAATATTACCAGAATGGGGAGACCACCTTAAGGATATTTATGGGGATTTCTTTTTTCTCATTACTTTTTAGCTCACCTGTCACAAAGTGACAGGGTGAGCTTTTGTGATCGCTTTTCGTCCGGTGTCCGTCCGTCGTCCGTCCGTCCGTCATCCGTCCATAAACTTTTACTTTAAATGACATCTCCTCATAAACCACTAAGCCAATTTCATCCAAACTTCACAGGAATGTTCCTTTGGTGGTCACCTTTAAAAATTGTTCAAAGAATTTAATTCCATGCAGAACTCTGGTTGCCATGGCAACCGAAAGAAAAAACTTTAAATATCTTCTTTTTAAAAAACCGAAAGAGCTAGAGCTAAGATATTTGGCATGAAACATCTTCTAGTGAGTGTCTAGCAAGATTGTTCAAATAAAAGCCCTGGGGTCAAAATTGGCCCCGCCCCAGGGGGTCATTGATTTTCCCTATATGTATATAGTAAAAACTTAAAAAAATCTTCTTTTAAAGAACTCAAAGAGCTAGAGCTAAGATATTTAGCATGAAACATGTTCTAATGGGTGTCTACCAAGTTTGTTCAAATAAAAGCCCTGGGGTCAAAATTGGCCCCGCCCCAGGGGGTCATTGATTTTCCCTATATGCATATAGTTAAAACTTAAAAAATCTCCTTTTAAAGAACCCGAAGAGCTAGAGCTTAGATATTTGGCATGAAACATCTTCTAGTGAGTGTCTACCAAGATTGTTCAAATAAAAGCCCTGGGGGTCAAAATTGGCCCCGCCCCAGGGTGTCATTGATTTTCCCTATATGCATATAGTAAAAACTTAATAAATCTTTTTTTAAAGAACCCAAAGAGCTAGAGCTAAGATATTTAGCATGAAACATCTTCTAATGAGTGTCTACCAAGTTTGTTCAAATAAAAGCCCTGAGGTCATAATTGCCCCGCCCCAGGGGGTCATTGATTTTCCCTATATGTATATAGTAAAAACTTAAAAAATATTCTTTTAAAGAACCAAAAGAGCTAGAGCTAAGATATTTAGCATGAAACATGTTCTAATGGGTGTCTACCAAGTTTGTTCAAATAAAAGCCCTGGGGTCAAAATTGGCTCCGCCCCAGGGGGTCATTGATTTTCCCTATATGTACATGTATATAGTAAAAACTTAAAAAATCTTCTTTTAAAGAACTCAAAGAGCTAGAGCTAAGATATTTAGCATGAAATATGTTCTAATGGGTGTCTACCAAGTTTGTTCAAATAAGAGCCCTGGGGTCAAAATTGGCACCGCCCCGGGGGTCATTGATTTTCCTTATATATGTGTATATCAAAAACTTAAAAAGTATTCTTTGAAAAAACCTAAATAGCTCGAGTTAAGATATTAAGCATGAAACATCTTCTAGTGAGTGTCTACAAAGTTTGTTCAAATAAAAGCCCTTGGGTCAAAATTGGCCCTGCCCTGGGGTCATTGATTTTCCTTTTATGTGTATAGGAAAAACTTAAAAAAACATCTTTGAAAAAACCCAAATAGCTAGAGTTTAGATATTAAGCATGAAACATGTTCTAGTAAGTGTCTACAAAGTTTGTTCAAATAAAAGCCCTGGGGTCAAAACTGGCCCCGCTCCAGGGGTGTCATTGTTTTTAACTATATGTGTATAGTAAAAACTTAAAAAATCTTCTTTAAAAAAAACACAATGAGCTACAGCTTAGATGTTTAGCATGAAACATCTTCTTATGGGTGTCTACCAAGTTTGTTCAAATAAAAGCCCTTGGTTAAAATTGGCCCTGCCGGGGGTAGGGGAGGGCAGATCATTGTTTTTCATTATAAGTGTGTACATCATGAAACGTCTTCTTATAGGTGTCTTCCAAGTTTGTTCAAATAAAAGCCCTTGGGTTTAAACTTGCCCCGCTCCGGGGGCCTACATACAGGTGAGCGACCTTAGGGCCATCATGGCCCTCTTGTTTATTTATTCTTTGCTGGGGGTAGCATGTGTCAGACCTGGCTTTGATGGAAGTTTGTTCTAGTTATTGTAATAATTATTATCTGGTTATATTGGGGTCACACAGTGATATTATATCAGAATTATTGTATAATATAGACTTTATTTACTTAAACGTTTAGTTTACAAAAAGAGTAGGGTAGTCTTTTTATATTTTAGGCAGATTTTAAATTTTATCCTAAACATTTTCCAATATCAACTGTTTGTCTGAACACCATTTTGAACAGTCAATCTTTTGAATTCAGCTCAACTTGACTATGAAAATATGAGCATAATGTCACTTTAAAGGGACTCCACTGAGGTATGTTTGACATTATAAATGGGCCTCAAAAAATATTTTTTTCAAGTTTGGTGTACCATTTGATAAAGGTTTGCACCAATAACTTGTGTACAAGCTAGTTTTCAGACCATTCCCTCTCGATTTATTTCAGAATCATCATTTTTTATTGTCAAAATAAAAAAGTTTCATTCAAATCGGGTCAAAACTCTTACTACTCAATATCGAAATTCAATTATAATCTAAGTTGATTCTTATATTTAAATATCATCCTTTCCAGATTTTTCCATTTTAAGTGCTTCAGATATGATACATGTAAAAATTTCAACTTTAATGATTTTAGTCTTTTTGACCTCAATGTGACATTTAATATCTAATAGTATACAAAAAGTATTCACAGTTTGTATCACCAATGTTTATTTAAAGGTTTCTGTTCTGTAATTACTCAGTGGGACACAAGCTAAGTTTTTGTGCATAATGTTTCTTTCTTTAAAGTAGCTTGTTTACAATCCCAATACCCCCCCCCCCCCCCCCCCCCCCCCCCCCCCCCCCCCCCCCCCCCCCCCCCCCCCCCCCCCCCCCCCCCCCCCCCCGATGTATCTTTTTGATAGTGGCAGTGATTTTTCTCACTTAATTGGGAAGAGGCCTAAGCCTCTTGATTTTGGGAAAAATTATCGCTAAAATTGCTGATTTGGGAAGTAAAAAAGCTGGTTTAAGTTCAGATTTTTGGGAAAACTGCATGATTTTAAAGAAAATTTCAATTGGGAAGAGGCCTTTTTTCGGAGTCTGTTATATAAGTAGGAAAATCACTGAGTGGACTGTGCTGGAAAAGTGATTTTTTTTAAACAAAATTTCTCGAATGAAAACATTGGTGTTTTGGGGTCTAAATAGGGCAATTATTCATTCACCTATATAAAGCAATTGGTTAAATAAGGAACAGTGCAGACCATGATCAGACAGCATGGATGTTACTGGCTCATCTTGGTCGGCAATTTTTAATTTCAAGCAGCTGCCAGTATAGGTCGTATTATTAAGGTTGAAATGTAATATTACAAACACTTCAGATATAGGTATGTGGTGAACATTAACAAAGATACATAAAAAGTGTCTATGATTGAATGTATTTATGCTATTTTATTTCATAATTTGTAAAAAATGATAAATTTTGACAGTTATACATAGTAATCAATATGTGTAATATTTATGGCTTTTTATGTGCAATCTAAAACTTATTTGATTCAGCATTCTGGTACACATGTTTATTGTTGATGGACACGTAGATTTCAGTGCTGGGATTCTATAAATGCTGAATTTTACGCGAGGATGCATAAACATAATTGATAGTAAACAAACATAAATACATACGACTCCTAATTTGAAAATGCTAATGAGGATCCTAAAAAAAAAGAGTAAAAGTAAATATTTTTGTTAACATTATCTGACCAATAGGGGCCTCTGAATTCTTAAAGTCACTTTTTTTCCTTCTTCTGAAAGGCCATACAATACATGTATTAAAATTAATAACCCTTCAATAATGAAGAGCATGTTAGATGCTTATTACCTGAAAAAATAGTGCTGAATGTGAAACAATTTATCATAAAAGAATAGGGATGTCATGTTTAAATTATCTGTTAACGATCAGATTTTAGCTAAAAGCTAGTTAGAAATTTAATAATATATAGACAAAGAGCCGAGAAAGTTTTAAATTGATTCTTAACCTGACCTTCATTTTTACAACGAGATGTTTATTACAGTTAGTTTGTATTTTAATTGTACTAAACAATGTATTTTTTTCCAGTTACAGGCTATCTAATATTGATCGGTACAGACCTACCAGAATAAATAATCCATAATCAGATATGTTTTGTAAAAAATTTGAGTCTTATATATAAAATGTGAACAAAATGTCATATCTTGACGTAACCATCCATCATTTTTAGAGAATTTTTTAAAATATGTACCGATTGAATCGCTAACATTGCAGACTATGTTTAGACAGCACAGATTTTGCCGGCTGATCTAGATCCGTACCCTGATCGCATAGATAGCGTCTGTTGTAGAATAGTTAAGGCTGAAGATTGAAAATGAAAACAGATAAGTGTTATCATAACAAAAAGCTGGGAAGTAACTTTATACTCTAATAGAGATATGTATATATCGTAATATCAAGACGTAAGTGTCGAAATAAATAAAATAATAATATTTACGTAATAAGAAACTTCATATTTTCATTATTTTCGGTAGCACTTTCAATGCATATCTTCAGCCAAATATTTTAATCAATAAACTAATAAACAAATCATGTAATATCATGAAAAAAATGCGGGGCCATGATTATTAAATGATAGCATTTTTCGCAGCAAAACACAATGATGTGAGTTTACACGTTAAATTATGTATATTTATATAACACGATGATGTGTATTTTTTCAGGACCGGTTCCCGATGATGTGAGTTTACACAGTAAATATGTATATTTATATAAACACGATGATGTGTATATTTTCAGGACCGGTTCCCAACGATGTGTTTGGAGACAAGAACGCTATAAGTTTTACAGTAAACTTTTTCTTCAACAATAATACTGCTGCTCAGAACTTCACAGCATTATTTCAGACGGTAGATCCTCGTAAGTAAAAAATCTTAGCTAATGTGTTGAGTAATTAATTGAAATGATAAAAAAAAAAATATCATGGTTTATATAACATACAAAATTTGTGAAATTGCATAAAATAATCTGGAAAGAATAATTAGAGATCTGTTTATTGATCTCAGGTCTCGACTCTTAATATTTTTGAAGTACACTAATTTGACCCATATATTTGACTCCGTATTGATATGCCCATTTGAAAGTAGGTCATGTTAGAGGCACGCCTAAGGAGGGTCGGTTTGGAGCATATCTTTTTCTACAAACATGGATGAATTTCAGTAATATACCATTCCAAAGTTCACCATCATGAAACATAGTGCTTCATGCATGAATAAGATCTCAAGGTCAAGGTCACATGATAGAGGTCAGAGGAAAACCTGTATCCAGAGAAAGCTGTCATCATTGCTGGGGTCTCTTCAAACTTAGCTTAAGTTACATACCTCACCTCTTTAATGTTCATATCATTTCTGTAATTGGAGGGGCATCCGTGGCCGAATGGTTAAGGTCGTTGACCTCAAACCACTTGCCCCTCACTGCTGTGGGTTCGAATCCCGACAGTTGGATTCTTTCATGTGAGGAAGCTATCCAGCTATCTTACAGAACGAAGATGGTTCTACTCAGGTGCCCGTTCGTGCTTGAAATAATGCACAGAAGAGTATCTGAGGTCTTCCTCCACCAGTAAAACTGGAACGTCGCCATATGACCTATACTGCTTTGGTGTGATGTAAAACCCAATTAAACAAACAAAAATTTCTGTAATTGGAAGTAATAGTAAATTTGTTCATTGCAGGTTGCAGTGGAAAGTTGGATGTGGCGTCTACATTTAAACAACTGACTATACCTGCCAGTAACCAGTTACCGGTGACCTGCTACGCTCAGCTGAAGTTGGGAGGCGAGGGCAAGGTGTATATGGAGAACAGTGTGAACTACACTCAGACACGTGGCTTTGATAATGTGATATTTTATGATGGTGCTAGCACTCAGGCACCCGTCGTAGGAACCAATAGCGATGGTACGTAAAAACAAGTCAGATTAGTAGATCAAGTTAGTAGATCAAGTTAGGTTTACTTTTCAACTATTTTGTATATTTTCTAATTGTCTCATTTGAATAAAAGAATGAATAAACTATGCTGGGGAAGCTTCGTTTCCTGTTATGGGACAAGTCAAATTGGTCCTTTCTTTAAAAAAAACTGCAGTTTTTTAATGATACTATGTATTTATATTGTGACCATCTACAGTGTGTAGAAATTTAAACATATTAACATATACACTTTGTGTGAAATCAAAACATGTTTATTTAATATTTACAAAGAGACTGTGTAGCAATTATTAAATTAATATTTCCTCATTTCAAATTTGAGCATAATATATCTTTAAGTGTCAGGTCAACCTAGCACTTCTGTACCCTGACCGGATTTTATACTGTTAAATTTTAGTATTTTGTTTTTGAAATTCCTTAAAGTGACATTATGCTCATATTTTCATAGTAAAGTTGAGCTATATTGACTTTATATTTCAAAAAGATTGACTGTTTAAATGGTGTTTGACCAACAGTTTATTTTGGAAAATATTTAGGATAAAATTTATTATCGGCTTAAAATATAACAAGACTGTCCTACTCTTTTTATAAACTGAACCTAACAGGTAAATTCTAAAAAGATATTTACAGAAATTTCGTTTGACTCTAACCTATTCATTCACTATATACCTTTAGATGGGCATAATGTCACTTTAAACTAGATATGGACTGTTCCAAATTCTCAAAAGGGCAAGTCCATTTAACATATTTATTAGTGTAAGTACAAAGAAAAAAGAAAAAAAAAGAAAACCCACTGAATTACTTGCCTTGCAACATCTACAATAACTGAGTAAACTCATCATTTTCATCATATTTTCAGGACTTCAGTGGCTCGTGGGCTCAAAGAAATCTCTGACAGTGGTTGCCAACCTTGGAGCACAGTCTGCCCGAGTCAGTAATTTACAGTACCGGTCAGACAGTAAGTATAATTCTTATATTCATTGGACATATTTCGAGGGTTGACCGCAAAATTGATGTAAGTTCCTTTTTTATTTCATATCAGTTACAGCAGTTTTACTGTCAACCTTTGATTTTGTAGAATGGAAGAAAATGTATTGGGAAAGAGGGCTGAAGATGCCGTTATAAAAATTTGCCTTATTTTTGATGTCATTAATGAGACATCTACATGTATATAGGGTTGTTGCATCAAAGAGAGAGTCGATGACTGCTAATCCAGTTACCTCTCTGGCGTGGGTTTGATCCCCGGGAGATGTTTTGGTAGTTTTGGTAGTTTAACGTGGAGGAAGGTAGTCTAGTACTGGTGTAACTCTCCAGGAACAATGGTTAGGAAACTACCCGTCTATATGACTGAAATACTGTTGGGAAAAGGCGTAAAATGAAACAAACAAAAAAAAACAAAAGCATCAAAGAACTAATTTTGTAATAATGCATGGATTAAAGTTTGCATTTTCATCGCTAGTTGGAAAGTTCTTTTTGGTGAAAAAAAGTGATTGTTAAACAACTTGATATTTTGTAACCTTTGTGCAGTAACGCGGTAATTCCTATTGAATTATATGAGGAGTTAACCCATTTCTGCACTAAGGCGATGAATTACAAGGCACTTTATGTACTTGACATTTTAAGGCTATGGTGATCACTCTCAGGAGGGTAAAGGTTTGCAGATTTTAAACCAGAAGTTCTGTTCAGTGTTTATCATGAACTCATCTTGTTATCAAATAAGGCATAGTTTAAAGTTTATTTTTAAGTTAAAAGGCACATTATGCCCCAGACATCCATATTTATTAAATTCATTAGAAATGTGAAACATGTGTTTAATAATGTTTTAATAATGGATTTAGAGCATGTTAGATGTTTAACAGCTGAAGAAAGTAGTATTGAATGTGCAGTAATGTGTTGTAAAAGTAGCAAAATGTTAACAAAGTGGCATTTTGACTTCCATACAAAATACCAATTTCACTATAATTATACCAATTGCCAACAAAGCAAAAGAAGTAAAAGATACTTCATCTATATGGCAAATAATTATTTTTGGAAACTATAACAAGATACTAAAAATTAAAAAATTTTGTGAAATAAAAATCATACCATTTCTGAGGCATATTTGGCCTTTAAGGGAAGAAAATACAATGTTTCAAATCAGTAATGTATAATTGAATTTTGTTTATTTTAAGCATAAATGAGCCACGCCTTGACAAAACCAACATAGTGCGTTTGCGACCAGCTTGGATCCAGACCAGCCTGCGCATCCGTGCTGTCTAATCAGGATCCATGCTGTTCGCTTTCAAATTCAATAGAGTTTGAAAGCGAACAGCATGGATCCTGATCAGACTGCGCGGATGCGCAGGCTGGTCTGGATCCATGCTGGTCACAAATGCACTATGTTGGTTTTGTCATGGCACGGCTCAAATAATGATTGTTTTTCAGGTTACAACAATTTTTTCACTCTCACGAATCAGTCACGATCTGCAAATATTGACTTTGACGGCACTACCATCAGCAATAGTACTGTGAAAGTGATGTTCCTGAGTACAAACCAGTCCCTATCGTCTGTAAGTTGTGAAAATCTGTAGCATTAAAGTGAAATTATGCCAGCTAAAGGGTATATAATTAGTGAATAAGTGAAAGTCAAATAAATAAGTAATCCCCTTTAGTGATAGTGTCAGTTTAACCCTTATTGTGCATACTAGTAATTTCTCAAATGGACTTAACCCCAGCTTCTATTTTAGAACTGTCCATTATCAATTTTGAGGGATATCAGTATGAAATTTAAAGTCTTATGATTCAACAGTAGTAATTTCTTAAATGAACTTAACCCATTATCAATTTGAGGGATATCAGTATGAAAATTAAAGTCTATGAACCAACAGTCTAGAGTCTGGTCAGACAGTACATAAGCTATGGTGTTTTACGTTTTGTTTATTAATTTGTTGTTTTATTTTTCAGATTAAGATTGAACTAAACAACAACACATCATTGACAGATGGTAAGATAACAGTCCAGTGCCAAGGGTTCATGACGATGTTCACTTATACGTAAGTCATTTTTTGGTGGTTTTTTTCTTATGACAGGCAGGTGTGTAATTATCAAAACTTATCATCCGGAGTTCACATTAGTAGGTGCATTGGTTCTTAAGCATTTGGACTTACTATTGAAGCCACTCTTGAGTTTGCCTCTTGAAACTAACTAGAACATAAGAAAATGCAGTTGAGTCCAGTAGAACTCAAACTCGGAATCCCTTGGTTGATAGGCCAACAATCTTTGTTTTCATTCAATTGAACAAGTTTATGGTTGACATTTTAACATGAAATTTCTATTCTTTTATTTTACTACAATAATAATTATATTTAGGACGAAAAATGGAGCATCAATTTTGTTAAACAATATGTGAAGGTTTAATCAAGTAGTGATCAAGTACTTGATTAAACTGGTTAATAGGGTATTCATTTTGTTAACCAATACTTGGATGTTTATTCGAGTACCTATCAAGGACTCGATTAACTGGTTAATTGAGAATTAATTTTGTTAACCAATACTTGGATGTTTAATTGAGTAGCGATTGAGTACTCGAATAGTTAACTGGTTAATGGAATATCAATTTTGTTAACTGATACTTGGATGTTTAATTGAGTACCTATTGAAGACTTGATTAACCAGTTATGTAGTATTAATTTTCTTAACCGGTACTTGAGTGTTCAATCAAGTACTGATTGAGTACTCGATTAACCGTTGAATGTAGTATTAATTTTGTTAACTGGTACTTGAGTGTTTAATAGAGCACGGGTCGACTACTTGATTATTCGTTGCCATCCATAGTTTTAATAAAGATTGTTAAAATGTTTAAACAGCTGCATATTCTTGTTATAAACAAATGTCTACTGTTTGTATATGATTTCAGGAAAGACAGTGTGTTTCTTCCAATAATAATTCCCAGTGCTCGAGCTATGGTTGTTATAACTATGTTGACAGGAAATCAGAAAGTTTCGTTGAAGGCAACAGCTCTACAACCAACAGGTAAGGTTTATTGAAGATTTAACACGGTTAGAGCCGACATTGATAAGTCATTGTCACCAGTATAGAGCCAGGCCAGGCTGCACATCCATACAATCTGACCTTGCTTTATACTGACAATTGACCAACTTTGATCTTGATAATTGACAGTTTTAAATATGGCTCTTTCAGGATTTTGAAAAAAAAAGTTTTAAGATTGGTTCCTTCAGGACAGGGGTATATGAATGAGCGATTATGAAATAAATGTGATAAATCAGCAATACTGCTCTTTTAATTTTTGCTCTTTGCTAAGAGATTTCTGTTTTCTATGTTGATTTTAACAGTCATTCTTATGTTAGAAATAGAATTGTATTTGTGTATGTGTAATTATTGTGATGCTTTTGTATTTTTCCTGTAAAACACTTGAAATTATGTTGTCAAGAATTTTGCGTTTTTTTTTGTTTTTTTTTGCTTAAAAAGTATATTTTTCCTTATTTGTGTTCTCAGAAATTTGCGTCATTGTATTCAAAATCAAAAGTGATGCTAAGTAAGTTAAGATTTTCATAATTGTGGGCAGATAAACTTATATCTGATAACTATGGATTCTCGAAGAAATTGATGTATGAATATTAGCGAAAATTAATCTAATGCAAATAAAACCTGTGATACAGTATACTCTGCATACCTTCAGCTACTGCAGTTAAATAATAATTCTAACACGCTTCATACTATTCCCCTGTCAAACATATAAGACAGTCAAGTGCATTATTACACGATATATTCACAGCATAAAAAAGGAATGGTTATACGTCATATGACATCAGATATGACGTCAATTAACCAAATGACATCTACTCTCAGTTTATTGTTAAAATGCTTTGTAATTAATAACTCAGGCCTATTGGCCTTCGTGATTACATTCCTAAGCATTTGAACTCAAACCAAGCATTATTCTACAACAATGCACTCAAATTTGATATCCATTTCCTAAATAAATTATTGTGCAATAATTATATAAATGTATGTTGTATATTTGACAGGTTGTAATGGGTTGTCTAACGGACCATCGGGCCAAATTAATTTTGCTGGTGCAAGCACAACAGAGAAGTCCTGCAATTTTCTAGTTTCTACAAGTAAAATTTCTTATTATTATTGATCTTATGTCAATCTTTAAGTATATATAGATGCAAGAGGTAGTTTGAATTGATTTATTTTTGTAAATTAGTCTTGAAAGTTAAAAGCTTTTATCAATTATCATTTAGCATAGTTACTGCCTTGACTTGTCAGAACTGGTTTAACCTTGAAGTTACTGCCTTGACTTGTCAGTACTGGTTTAAACCTTGAAGTTACTGCCTTGACTTGTCAGTACTGGTTTAAACCTTCAAGTTACTGCCTCGACTTGTCAGTACTGGTTTAAACCTTCAAGTTACTTACCTACTCCATATTGGTTTTCTCAGGGTTAAAATCAGAAACCACATAGCTTTCAAAATTATGAAAGCTCGCCAATGATTGGCTATGTGAAAGGTCTCCAGAAATGACTTCATATTTGGTCACAGTCGGATCTAAAAGCGGAGCGTTATTTAGAGCTGATTTTAATCAGATTGCAATGAAACTATGTTCATAATGTTACTTTATATTTATACAGGTAATGATATTATATTTATACAGGTAATGATATTATATTTATACAGGTAATGATATTATATTTATACAGGTAATGATATTATATTTATACAGGTAATGATATAATACTGGAGATGAAGCAGATTAACTTGTGTAAGACGGGTACCCTCGATATCTACCAGGGCTTCAACAAGAACTCCGTGAAATACGCATCCTTCCAAGCTAACACGTCATACACGATCCCTCAGATCAGATTTCCAGCTGGCTCACCTCCAAGGTAAAAGTTTAAGATACGTCTTTGGATCTCAAACATTTAACCCCGTCCTTAGGTCGTCACCACTTCTATTTATGTCCTAAGGTCTCTTTATATTATCTATTAAGGAAGAAAACAATTGATTATTCCGTATATATCAAAGTATAATTTTATGTATGTGCCAAATTTCTCTGACATAGAATTGTGGATGATTCTAAAATACAGTGTCAATATAGTACTATGAAAGTGCTTAGGATAATGAGTCTTGGCCATCCATGGATACTTTAATTGTAGACTTTAAAGCATTATCTGGTATTATATTATCTCATGGTTATTGATTCTTTCCCTTTGGTTTATATAGAATTTATTTTAGTTTGATTGTGTAGGAAGCTATAGGCTTAAAGAGACACTTTTGTATCCATTTCTGGAACCAACAAGAACTGAGCAATCAGTGTAAAGTTTCTTGCTCAAGTAAACAGCGACTCAACCCTGATGGGGTTTGAATCCATGCGACTAGTGATCATTAGATTACTAGCCGTGCCACCACTTATATCTTTAAGCAGTGGTGGTAACCGCCAGCTTGTTTGGACAGTATACTGTCTGGCCATATGGCCATTTTGATAAATGACTTCTTTGCAATATGAAATATGTATTTATGACCTTCATCCCCATTTTAAACAAAAGTATGATAATACAGTTCATAATATGAATAAAATGAGCTTTGTCTTAATTATGCACGTGTTTTTCACTAATACTTTTCAACTACGGACCTATTTTTATTTTATTATCAATCACTGAAAATTCTCAAGCGCACTGTTTTATAGTTTTAATAGTTTAAAGGTTTGAATTTTACAATGTACAGGTCAAAAAAATTTTTTAAAAGGGTGTATGCATAAAAAATAGAGGTAATGGGAGGAGTTTTAGCAGAATGGGTTGGAAAGTCCTATTAATCATGTTTTATTTTGTTTCACATTCAGGCTAGTGTGGAAAGACAACAACAACACATGTACAGGACCTACAGTGGTAGCTAGATACTGGAGCCAAGATAATGGTAAACTTTCCATATTAATTATAAAATACATCTTAATAATTATGTCGTATTTATTATGTACCTATAAATTTTCTCCCTAAAATAGGCGTAAATCTTGAAGCGGGAATACACTTAAATGGATAGAAAAAATCTGTATTCTGCAAGTGACAAATGCAGTACCATATATGGAAGTGCCAGACTACTTTTTTACATTGGTTCTCATCTTTGCTGTGTATTACATAGCATATGGAAAACGGAACCAAACTTTTGGAGGCTTGGTCTCTTGCAAAAATTACATATTCATCCATCATTCATGATTTTTTTTTTTTTTTGAGAGCCATTTTTAGCTCACCTGTCACAAAGTGACAGGGTGAGCTTATGTGATCGCTTTTCGTCCGGCGTCCGTCCGGCGTCCCTCCGTCCGTCCGTCCGTAAACTTTTGCTTTAAATGACATCTCCTCATAAACCACTGAGCCAATTTCATCCAAACTTCACAGGAATGTTCCTTTGGTGGTCACCTTTAAAAATTGTTCAAAGAATTTAATTCCATGCAGAACTCTGGTTGCCATGGCAACGGAAAGAAAAATCTTTAAATATCTTCTTTTAAACAACCCTAAGAGCTAGAGCTTAGATATTTGGCATGAAACATCTTCTAATGAGTGTCTACCAAGTTTGTTCAAATAAAAGCCCTGGAGTCAATATTAGCCCCACCCTAGGGGGTCATTGATTTTCACTATATGCATATAGTAAAAACTAAAAAAATCTTCTTTTAAAGAACCCAAAGAGCTAGAGCTAAGATATTTGGCATGAAACATCTTCTAGTGAGTGTCTACCAAGTTTGTTCAAATAAAAGCCCTGGGGTCAAAATTGGCCCCGCCCGGGGGGGGGGGTCATTGATTTTCCCTATATGCATATAGTAAAAACTTAAAAAATCTTCTTTTAAAGAACTGTAAGAGCTAGAGCTTAGATATTTGGCATGAAACATCTTCTAGTAAATGTCTACAAAGTTTGTTCAAATAAAAGCCCTGGGGTCAAAATTGGCCCCGCCCAAGGGGGTCATTGATTTTCCCTATATGCATATAGTAAAAACTAAAAAAATCTTCTTTTAAAGAACCCAAAGAGCTAGAGCTAAGATATTTAGCATGAAACATCTTCTAATGAGTGTCTACCAAGTTTGTTCAAATAAAAGCCCTGAGGTCAAAATTGGCCCTGCCCCAGGGGGTCATAGATTTTCCCTATATGCATACAGTAAAAACTTAAAAAATCTTCTTTTAAAGAACCCAAAGAGCTAGAGCTAAGATATTTGGCATGAAACATCTTCTAGTGAGTGTCTACCAAGTTTGTTCAAATAAAAGCCCTGGGGTCAAAATTGGCCCCGCCCCTTGGGGTCATTTATTTTCCCTATATGCATATAGTAAAAACTTAAAAAATCTACTTTTAAAGAACCGTAAGAGCTAGAGCTTAGATATTTGGCATGAAACATCTTCTAGTGAATGTCTACCAAGTTTGTTCAAATAAAAGCCCTGGGGTCAAAATTGGCCCCGCCCCTTGGGGTCATTGATTTTCCCTATATGCATATAGTAAAAACTTAAAAATCTTCTTTTAAAGAACCCAAAGAGCTAGAGCTAAGATATTTAGCATGAAACATCTTTAAGTAAATATCAACAAAGTTTGTTCAAATAAAAGCCCGGGGGTCAAATCTGGCCCTGATAATTGTGTTGTAGAAGCTGTGAGAGGTCTTGTGAGATATTAATTTTGCAATGTTGCTTGTAGCTAGATACAAAGCCTCAGAAGGCTACTACAACATATTATTCTGTATAGGGTAAAGTGGTCGTAAGTCGGACACGATTGAAAGTCAGACATTTTTAGCTGTTCATTAAATGTTGTAGAAACGTTTCTAACATGCCAATAAGTGCAGTCAAACCAACCTTAACATTTTAACCGTGCATAGTTGTCTTTCTTGTCAGCGTGGCTTACTTCCTGTCTTTCTGAATATTGTTACTATAAATAGCTCTATCGGCGCGAAATTTGAAAATCTGGATTCCAGAAAAGTAAGACTGGTCTTCCTATTTCAGTGGTTTAAAGTATTAAAAATTAAATAATGTGTATGTAAATATATATCAACTATACAAATATACATGTTTACTTTGTGTTCTAAACTTGTTTAATTATTTTGCCTCGTATTTCTTTTACCTTTCCCCACCCGGCGTAGGAACCAAATTAGATGTTAAGTCGGACAATCAAAAGTGAAAATTTGATGTTAAGTTGGACACTGTTCAAAGTAGGTTCTATTGACATAATTACCCATTGTTCTATACATGACTTATCTACAAGGTCTAGTTTTATTCTTTATAACGACAAAGAGCGTATAGGCCTATCTAGTAAAAGAAAGATATTTTTTAAGCTTCCTATATTTTTTGCGATACAATAAATTCATCATTGTATTTATTGAAGATTAATATCAAATGACATTACATCTAGATCTATAGTTAGATAATTGATTGAAAAAAATGTCTTCAGTGTTCGATATTTTTTAATATAGACAAGATACAATTCTGACAAGGCATGCGCTCTACGAATAGACGAAAGGATAGGCGGATACCGCGCTACATGAAATTTAATTAGGCTCTTGTCACTGCTTCCTTCCTATCATTATTCTAGATCTAGAGTTCATATATATTCATGGTTCATTAATACTTACGCTATATAACTTCTTTCTAAAATGTGATATTTGGTATTCGTGTTTTCAAATAATGTAAGATATCTTTATGTCAAACATATGTTCACCTCATTACTTAGCTGCTTTTTTCTTTGTTTTACAATTTAAATGGTTTCTTAGTTTCAAAGTGTTACCAACTTTAACTTTGTTATTGCTTGGTTGTAACTGGAGCCAAACTTGTATTAGATTAGTCTCAATATTTCGACGGCAAGACAGACCGATTTTATAATCTGATATTTCATAGATGTCTGTCGCAAAGGGCGACTATCGTATATATAAAAAAAGCCATAAAGCGCACAATTTGTTGGGCTAGTATATGATCTACCTGAAACATAAAGGTCCTAGTCGCCATGTCGGCTTGTGTTACCTGCGTCGTGAAGACGCACAGAAACTTAAAATGATACACTTATGTTCAAAGCTTCGCTCTTATAAAAAGTCCAATCTACGTTATATAACAGCAATTAATAAAAAGAAAATACATAATTACAGAATATCAGAATCACGATTAACATGTGTAAGGCAGACACACTTCATTAACCTGGGAACATATATAAATGAGCCGTGTCACGACAAAACCAACATAGTGCGTTTGCGACCAGCATGAATCCAGACCAGACTACGCATTCGCCGCGCAGTCTGATCAGGATTCACGCTGTTCTCTACTTGTAATAGGGTTGGTAAGCCAACAGCATGGATCACATTCACATTTTGCCGTAACATATATATTATCATGATTGAACACCTTTCTCTGTTTAAATGACATGTTGCTTTTTTGCTATTTTTTGTTGTTGTTTTTTTTTGTTTGATTTTGCTCTGCATGAATTCAAACATATATTAAGAAATTAAATCCCAAATACGTCCTAGACCTTTGTCAGTTCTAAAGTGAAAGCAGTGACAACAGCCTAATTTGATTTCAATTTAGCATATAAATGTGTTACTGTTGCGTAACAATATTCATGCTGTCACAGGTATCTTTCAGAAAATATATTTTATTAGACAAACGAAAATGTTCTAGCTGAACCATCCATACACATAAAATAAAACAGCAAATTTCGACCCTCTCCTCCGAATGTGATATTTTCTTCAACCAAAAAGCATATTGTTGTTTAGATGTTGTGAGAAAAACAGGAAATTGTGTACGTTTCTAGCCTTTGGGTGGGAGAGTGGGGTTTACGTACGTCTTACCAACGAAGTATTACTAAAGTCATATTGCGTTGTCCGGAGCCAGCTTTACCAGCTTTACTGATAGAGGAAGACGTCAGGTGCCCCTCTGTACGTTATTTCAGGCACAAAAGAGCAACTAAGTAGAACAAGCGACATTCCGTAAGCTAGCTTGATAGCTTTCTCACATGTAGAAACCTACGATGCTTGCGTGACTGGAACCAACAAAAATAAATACATAATTGAAATCATTTAAAATGCTTACTTACAAAAACATTGAATGAGTTCATGTATGTAACGGCGTATACGCCTATTTTTACGTTTATGCGTCGGCTGCATGTTTTGTCAGATTTGCATGTTGTGTCTATTACCCTGAAGACACTTTTTTCAAAATAAAATATCACGGTAACGTCAATATTTTAGTGTTTCATTTAATTTGCAAACTAAATGTTTTATTTACACTGTACTTACGTACTTTAATCAAACTAAAATACAAATTAGTCTGTAAGCATTAAATACGCCCCGTTTCTGATATAGTCAGTCTGATCATTGGGAGCGATGAGAAATGAACTTACTCAGAATCATCAGTCACACAAATTATGCTATAAACTTTAGTTAAAAATATAATAATTATATTATTTATAATGTTTATAATATTTCTGGAACAATAATACAACATCCATATATTTCATTCGATTATTTTGATGAATACCGATTAGAACGGGACCGTAATTTTTACCGCCCAAGTCAAAAAAATTGGTGTCCGACTCAACATCAAATCCGTCCGAGTCAACATCAAATGCTGGTACCTGGCTTTACACCCGATTTTTGTTCTTTTCTTACACTGGTTCCGAGTAATTATGATTGTTTTTCGCATTTTAAAGTATTCCCCCGTGTGTAAGTGCTTTGGAAATTCCGATATGTTTCTAAAAATAGATTCTACAAACGGAAGAAGCAATGATGTGTCCGACTTACGATCACTTTACCCTATGTAAGATCATAAGATGTTATTTCATAAAGACTTTTATCATGCATCTGTGCCATTTTTGCACTCTGTAAAAACTGTATTGCATGGCCTGAAACATTTTTCCATAAGAAATAGATGGAATATATATTTGTGTACCTTCATATTACAAAAATGCATTGAACTTATTGGATTAAATAATATTATATTTGCCAGAGGCATTATTTAGTCAAGTACTGGTGTCTTATAGATTATAGTAGAAATATTGTTATGAAATACTGCAAAAGCAGTCTTAAACCGCATATAACATGTAAAATATCACTTGGATCTTGAATGTTTTCAGTACATTTTTCTCAATATTGATTTTCTTGAAATATTTTGGCTCATCTGGAGGTGTGCAGCTTTAAGGACTTTCAATATCAAGATACTATAATAGAGCCACCAACAGTATTAAGCCTGGTCAGACTGCATGGATGTGTAGCCTTGCTTGGATCTATATTGGTAGCAAAGACTGATCATAATTGTTTCAATTTCAGCAGGTTATAGATTACTGCAAAGATTGAATTTATTTGTCATTATTTATATACAAAGTTTTGCTTAAAGGGTATAAAGCAATATCTAATGAAAAATTTTGTAAAGATTTAAAAGCTGTAAATACATATTGTTTTCATATTGTATCAGTATTATCTCAAAAAAGATGTTACATAGAATGCCCGTGTTATTTAACATACATGAATATTGTAGGTAAATCAGAATAAAATGTTCCGGAACAAAATATTCCCCTACTATTTTAGTTTGTTTACCCATTATATAACACATGTTCAACTTGCTTTCATTAAACTATATGGACATATTTCTTTTGATTTACAGTTTATGTAGCTATTTTAATTATAAAATTAAATAAACAATATTTTTGACATCTAAAAACACCAAAGATATAGCTTTATACACTTTAATATAAAGGTTTCATCAGGTATTTCTGTATACATAGGAGCAACCTGTGGTGCTCTGGGAGCAGGAATGTCCGGGAATATTAATACTCCAAACTTCCCGAATCAGTACCCCCTGAATGTGATGTGTAACTGGACACTACCAGTTACTGTCAATACCTCGATGATGTATCTCACTGTCAAATCACTAGACTTTCAACGAGGACATTCCCTTACACTACAGGTAATCTATATCTTCTTGTTGGTTTATGTCTTTGTGTGGTGTTGCAAACTTAAAGCATCATCAGCGGTCAAAACTACCCTCACCTGCTGAAGCTAATATGCATAGACTCTAGTGATTTGAACCTGTAAGAGGCGACTAAATGGGTTCGAATCACTGCAAACTATGCATCTCTTAGTTCTAGAAGGTGAGGCGGTTTTGACTGCTGATGTTGCTCTAAGTTTTTAACATCCGAGGTTAGCCAATATCATCTTTCCTGTTTTGGCGCCATATGACCTAAATTGTGTGCTGATAAACAATTTCGAAGAAACAAACAAGAAATGATGAACAAGTTGGTAGGTATATATACATCTGTATTTTTTTAATATTTTGAATCATACACTTGCACAAGATCAGCTGTTTGCTGTTCCAAGGTTGTCTGGAATAATGTACATAACATGTACTCAACCCAAACCTCACACTTTAGGTAAGTTTTTGCAAGTTTGTATCTCCATTACTATTGAAAGGAATGGGTTTTATATAGAGATATGTCCCTGTCAAGCACTGAGAGTAGTCTTATTCCCATACTCTATCCACGTTTTTCATAAAATAAGGGCTGATTTTTTTTTATTGTTTTTTTGGACATATTTTATGTTGATTTAGAATGACTTATACTAGCGCTAATTACTATTTTTTTACTAGACAATGTGTTTTTCCTACTTTATACATAATGTTCATTAAAAAAAAAGATGAAAATGAACATGTGAATCTAGAGGCATGTTTCTTTAAAGGTTTCGAGATATCATGTTGATTTGTTATTGTTTTCAGAATACCAGTACTTCTAGTACCATAGCAAACTTTACTGGTACATCTAGTGATCTGATTGTACCAAACAGAAACCTGTCCATGATCTTCAATGCAACATTACAAGGCTCAACACAGACCGGACAAGGGGCACAACTCATGTACAAAGTTCTGAGTAAGTGAACATTGATATTTCTACCTTCTAAAATAAATTGTACAGGCAAATCTGTGAATTACGATAATCCAAAGGAGAAAAAAGGAGGCAGTTGTAGACAAGTGGTCTGTATTTGAAGATAAGTGTTATCTTTAATTAATGAAGGTTTTTCAAAGAGTGGTCTTTATTAACAGGGTGGTCTTCATGGTGAGTTGGTTCTTAATACAGTGAGTTTTGACTGTATATTTTACAATTATTGTATATGTTATTGTACATTTATTGTATACAGGTTGCCTTTACCCTTTACCTGAAGCTGTTGACTACAAAATTTGTTTATATATATATATATATTTGAATATCTATTTTGATACTACCCAGTATTGATGTCAAGTGTGGGAACATGGTCATGACTCCAGTAGCACTTGAATTCACAATCCCAATGTTGAAAAGGCCTCAAATCCACCTCTCTTCAAGGAAATTTATTAATTCTCAGCAAATGTTGATAACAATTCATGTATGAGTATTTTCGATCTTTCCGAACTAAAGATAGCTTTTGTTAATGCAATGTGATCTTATCATTGCCAATATTACATGAAATATGAAGAAGAAAAACAGAATACATGTATCTTTTCTCTTATTTTCAGCCTGCGGTGGACTGGTTACTAATTACCCTGCCAATCTGACCGTCCCTAAAGGAAAAAACCAGTCTGTAGAGTGTATCTGGATCATTCAGGTGCCTTTAAACGGAACAAAGCAATCGGTGAACATTGTGCTCGCTAACATTACAGTGAAAGGATATAAAAATGCTTCGAAGTAAGATTGTATAATGTATACCTAATTCTTAATGTTAAAAGTTTCGCAGAATGAAAATAAATTTCTTTTTTTTTTTTTCATAATCATATGATATTTATTGGTATTTAGCTCCCCTTGCACAAAATTAGGATCACTCATTGTTCAGCATCTGGCAGCTGCTCTCAAGCTGTCTATATAGATGATATAAAACGTCACGATTATCCAATGAAAATTGACGTTACAAACATGCAGATTTATCTTTTATTTTACAGTGGTGTACTGGAGATACACGATGGAAGCTCAGTACGTGACCAGAGTATCACGGTGAACATGACGCAGAAAAACACGACCACTGTCTACAGTCGCACCAACTTCCTGTTTGTCAGATATGCTTACACAATCTCTACAAACCAGCCTTTCACCTTCAATTTTACTTACGCTACCTTCAGTAAGTGATTTTATGTATATCCTGTATATCCATATTAAACACAGGGATGTCATAAATGTCCCTTGATATGAATTCTAACTGTATTTTAGACCACAGAGTTTCTGTTACGCAATTGATGCGTATAAGACAGGATTATCTACCGGTCCTAGAAAGGCACAACTCATGTAAGACAAGTCGCAGAGCTTCATTACGACCATAAAAAGTTACCCTCTAGCTAGATATTTCGGTCTTTACCAGCAGCCAGTGTAAGGTCCTTATAACGTATTTACAAAGTTTATCATGTAACCTAAACTGAATTAAATTACAAGTTGATGGTCAATTTTTATACGCCCGTTTGAAAAACGGGACGTATTATGGGAACGCCCCTGGCGGGCGGGCGGCGTCCAATTTTGTCCGGAGCATATCTCCTACATGTATGGAGGGATTTTAATGAAACTTCATAGAAATGTTCACCACTATGAGGAGCAGTGTCGCGCACATATAATTTAGGTCAATATATACAAGGTCAAGGTCACTAAAGATGATGAAATATCCAGATTTTGATCCGGAGCATATCTCCTACACGCATGGAGGGATTTTAATGAAATTTCATAGAAATGTTCACCATTATGAGAAGCCATGTCACGCACATGAACTAGGTCTCTAGGTCAAAGGTCAAGGTCACACTTAGAGCTCATTAAAAAACGCTTGTCCGGAGCAAAACTTCCACATGCATAGAGGGATTTCAATATAACTTGGCACAAATGTTTACCATTGTGAGGCGGAGTGTCGCACACAAAATTCAGGTCCCTGCAGCCAAGGTCAAGGTCACACATAGAGGTCAAAGTTTAGATAAAAATATGAAGATGTGTATAGGGATGATTTAATCATCATTTATTGAGGGATTGTAACACAAATGGTCATTATCATGACTACGGCTGTGACACATGTACTTTAGGTCAATATATGCAAGGTCAAGGTCACTAAAGATGGTGAAATATCCAGATTTTGTCTGGAGCATATCTCCTACATGTATGGAAGAATTTTTATAATACTTTATGGAAATGTTCACCACCATGATATGTATTGCTCCATGCATGATCCAGGTCAAAGGTCAAGGCCACACTTAGAGCTCATAGAAAAACGCTTGTCTGGAGCAAAACTTCTACATTCATAGGGGGATTTCAATATAACTTGGCACAAATGTTCACCATTGTGAGGCTGAGTGCCATGCATAAAATTCAGGTCCCTGCGACCAAGGTCAAGGTCACACATCCTGTGCATATCTTCCCTACTGATTTGTTTTAAGGTTCATTTAACAACACAGTGCCAAGAATAAAAACTTGCTTGCTAGATAACACTTATCCATAATGCCCCCATCTCCATCTAAAGCTTTCGTAAACGGGCGTATTTTGTGACTATGGCACCCTTGTTGCAATATAGAAACAAACAATAATTATGCCAAGCATTGATCCATGGATCATGGAGCATATTGGCTTTTGATCTGCCTCTTTCAGGGCAACTATAAGCTAGGCCATAATATCTTTTTCAAGGGTGAATGGTTCATGGTTGAGTGGTTAAGATGGCTGAAATTAATTAAATCAGTGGCCTCTTAACCCTGTGGGTTCAAATCCCATCTTTTATGTGAAGAAACTATCAAGCTTATTAAGAGAAGGTTGGTGGTTCTACCACAGATATAATTAAAACGATGCATAAATGAATACCTGAGGTTTTCCTCCACTAGTCATGTACATGTATTTGTGGGCTTTGGTGGCTAAGCAGTTAAGGTCGCCAACTTAAATCACTTGCCTCTCACTACTGTGGGTTTGAATCCTGTCAGGGACTTTAGGTTCTTTCCAGTGAGGAAGCTTTCCAGCTAGCATCTGGGTCTACTCAGGTGCCCCTTGTGTGCCTGAAATAGTGCACTAAGGGGTTTTGAGGTCTTCCTTCACCAGTAGAGCCGGAAAGTTGCAATATGGCCCTAGTAGTGTGGGTTTGATTTAAAATCCAACAAAACAAACAAATAAACCATGTATTTTGTATAAATGTACCATATTTTGCAGACTGTAACAGTACAAGTCAGTGCGATAATGGTGTATGTATACATCCTGACTGGAGATGTAACGGGGTACCAGACTGTAGAGATGGTAAAGATGAGAAACACTGTAACGGTTCCCAGCCTATCCCACCAGCACCTACTCCAGCTCCTAACAAAGGAGGGAAGAAAGCTGGGGGTAAGTATAGAAACTAAAAAGGTCAAACCAAGAATCTTACAATTTAAAAGATCTCTTTTAATCTTGACCGATACTGGAACCGAAAATGATGGCCTTTTCAACCAGTTTAGATACAGACTAGCATCCTCATGCATGCAGTCTAGCCAGGATCTATAGTGTTGAATGTCTGCAAGCATGTGGCTGGGTGTAAACAATTTGTTTCTGTACACAGCTCCTCCTTTATTTAACAAGGGATTTCATTGAAACTTAAACAAAAAGATTGTCATCAAATTTCCTTGGGCATTTTGTCAAGATTTTGTGATTTGATAATTTTTTTTCAGATTTATGGCCCTTTGTTATTTTTGTTTAACATATGGAATATTGTCGGAAAATCTATTTTTTAGTGATGATTTCCTGTCATTTGATCTCTATATCTCCTCTGAATATAATACAAGACCCGGCTATTTACATTTCAGTGGCAAGTTACTGGGTGGTTATTTGTCTGTTGCTTGGAGTAGTCATAGGTGTAATGCTGACCATCTTTGTCCCAAAATGCATCAGAAACGTACGTGGAAGGAACAGGTCGCCAGGAAGTAACTACGGCTCTCTCCACGAAGACACATAGATATGCATATTTAACGTATGTAACACCGGGTAACTCAAATGAAGAACAAAATACCACACTAGGAAAAAAAGACTTTTATTAATTTACCAGATTTGCCAATATCATGCAGACTACTTTATTTTTTTGTAAATGTTACTATAAAGAGATTGAGAGTTGGCATGTTTCCAATAACTTGTTGAGTATTGCTAAAAATAGATTGAAAGTTGGCATTTTTCCAATAACTTGTTGAGTATTGCTAAAAATAGATTAAGAGTTGGCATTTTTCCAATTACTTGTTGAGTACTGGTTGTTTAAGTTTAATTTCAGAAAGTTTAATAAGCTTTGTGGGAACTAACAATTTTGACAAGGATACATGTAGATCTGAAACCACATTTTAGTGATATATTTCTCAAAATATTTTTTTAATTTTAATTGAGATTTTGTAGTAAGTAACTGCCATAAGTAATTCTTCAGATTTTGTTTTTGTGTTTCTATGTTGTTGACTTTTTTTTCGTATTTTTGAAGAGAAGAAATTGTGTTTGCTGCTTTTGTTATACATATATTTTTCAGTTTACTAATTTAAATGTAAGAAAGTTATTAATACATGTATATTTTTAGGACAAGTTGTTCATTTGTTACAATAATTTACTTTTTGTTCTATTTATAGCAAGTCTCAAAAAATAACAGGCATGTTATCTGATAATTATGGTTGATTGACAGATGTCAGTGTAAATTACACCATATACAATTAGCACTGTCATTTAAACTGTAAAGATTATACATTGCCTGAACATGTAAAATTTTTGTTAATGATGGGCCTTAAAATCAAGTTCATTAATGCGTAACATTGCAAGTTCTGGTTTCACAGGCTTAAACCTTCAACCTGCTGGGTGCGAAAGTGATACCCTTTTGCCACCAGTATAGAGCCAGGCCAGCATGCACTCGACAATGGACAGTATCAAAAATAAAAGCTTGGCAAGTTCATTTAAGAAATTCAGAAGGTTAGGGATTAATGACTAATAATATCTGTCATATGTTGCGGTTCGGATCGGAATATCCGTCCCGAGGTGACCCGCCCATTGGGCGGTAACGAGGCTTGCCGAGTTACCGCCCATGGGCGGGTAACCGAGGGGCGGATATTCCGATCCGAACCGCAAACATATGTCAGATATTTTTTCTTGCATATTCTACCATATTCCATTATATTTTAAATTCTTTATCTTTATTTTCAATGGAAATTTATATCATGATAACCGTAACTACTTTCTTACAACAGCGTATGAAATTGTAACTTCATTCATAACAGTAAAATGACGTCATCCTAAGCGTGCCATTGTACAGCACGCGACTCATCTGGCACCCCCCATGCCAGATGAAATTTACGGCATGGGTAAAACTAACGGAAACGCCAGTCTGCTATGCAAGAAAAAGGCCATACTTGGTAGGGATTCAATATGAAGTGAAAACACGAGTGTGATACTGTAATTCAACAAAATTAAAATCCAATTTCCATTCTGACTCTATGTTCCGAGGGTTAAAATTGAGCAACATTCCTTTCTGTGATTGTTTTGATGATACATTTGAAAGTTTTGTCCTTGTTTAACGAAGGAAAACAAATGTAAAAAACAGTTGTGTGTCTTTATATCAAGTAACCATATCAATGTTTTCATTCCCTATGGCCTTATGGTTCTATGTAGTCTCATGCGCAGAGTATTGTTGATATAGTATATACATGTATATTTGTATATCCATGGGTGGCCATGATTCGTTACCCTAAGCATTTTACAGTGCTAGTTTGATACACTTTATTTTCTAATGACCCCAAGTGTTCTATGTTGAAGAAATTTAGCAGATACTTTCAATTTACTTTGTTGTTTAAAAATATCCAACTGTTTTCTATCTTAATAAATATTTGTTGAAACTTTGTGACATAAACAGTAACAATGTTGACTCACGGACAGGTACGAATTCAAGGCACCTTACAATACTTTATACATACAGTCTTATACCTGTTATTGTGAACATTCCTCTTTTTTTTTCGATACAAATTTACACCAAATATTGTGAACACGAGATATGGAACAAATGTAATTATATTAATTTGCAATGTGCTTAGATGAATGGAAGTGTTTTTAGCTCACCTGTCACAAAGTGACAGGGTGAGCTTTTGTGATCGCTTTTCGTCCGGCGTCCGTCCGGCGTCCGTCCGTAAACTTTTACTTTAAATGACATCTCCTCATAAACCACTAAGCCAATTTCATCCAAACTTCACAGGAATGTTCCTTTGGTGGTCACCTTTAAAAATTGTTCAAAGAATTTAATTCCATGCAAAAGTCTGGTTGCCATGGCAACCGAAAGAAAAAACTTTAAATATCTTCTTTTAAAAAACCATAAGAGCTAGAGCTTAGATATTTGGCATGAAACAACATCTAGTGAGTGTCTACCAAGTTTGTTCAAATAAAAGCCCTGGGGTCAAAATTGGCCCCGCCCCGGGGGGTCATTGATTTTCCCTATATGCATATAGTAAAAACTTAAAAAACCTTCTTTTAAAGAACCCAAAGAGCTAGAGCTTAGATATTTGGCATGAAACATGTTCTAATTGGTGTCTACCAAGTTTGTTCAAATAAAAGCCCTGGGGTCAAAATTGGCCCCGCCCCTGGGGTCATTGATTTTCCCTATATGCATATAGTAAAAACTTAAAAAATCTTCTTTTAAAGAACCCAAAGAGCTAGAGCTAAGATATTTAGCATGAAACATGTTCTAATGGGTGTCTACCAAGTTTGTTCAAATAAAAGCCTTGGGGTGAAAATTGGCCCCGCCCCGGGGGTCATTGATTTTCCCTATATGCATATAGTAAAAACTTAAAAATCTTCTTTTAAAGGACTCAAACAGCTAGAGCTTAGATATTTGGCATGAAACATCTTCTAGTGTGTGTCTACCAAATTTGTTCAAATAAAAGCCCTGGGGTCAAAATTGGCCCCGCCCCGGGGGGTCATTGATTTTCCCTATATGCATATAGTAAAAACTTGAAAAATCTTCTTTTAAAGAACCCAAAGAGCTAGAGCTAAGATATTTAGCATGAAATGTCTTCTAATGGGTGTCTACCAAGTTTGTTCAAATAAAAGCCCTGGGGTCAAAATTGGCCCCGCCCCGGGGGGTCATTGATTTTCCCTATATGCATATAGTAAAAACTTAAAAAATCTTCTTTTAAAGAACTCAAAGAGCTATGGCTAAGATATTGAGCATCAAACATGTTCTAATAGGTGTCTACCAAGTTTGTTCAAATACAAGCCCAGGGGTGAAAATTGGCCCCGCCCCGGGGGTCATTGATTTTCTTTATATGTGTTTAGCAAAAACTTTAAATCTTCTTTGAAAAAACCCAAATAGCTAGAGTTTAGATATTAAGCATGAAACATCTTCTAGTAAGTGTCTACAAAGTTTGTTCAAATAAAAGCCCTGGGGTCAAAACTGGCCCGGCCCCAGGGGTGTCATTGTTTTTAACTATATGTGTATAGTAAAAACTAAAAAAAATCTTCTTTTAAAAAGCCCAATGAGCTAGAACTTAAATGTTTAGCATGAAACATCTTCTTATGGGTGTCTACCAAGTTTGTGCAAATAAAAGCCCTTGGGTTAAATTGGCTCTGAAACGTTGGGGGAGTGGGGGTTGGGGGGCCTATATACAGGTGAGCGACCTCAGGGCCATCATGGCCCTCTTGTTGTATTATTATTATGTGTTATTGATGAAAGTTGTATGCCTCCCTAGACGAGCAAACATACTTTAACAAATTAACAAAATGAATTAAACTAAATAAAAAAGTTTAATATTTATAAGTTTAAAGAACACTTTCATAATATTTTTTACTTTTGATAATTTTGTGTCAAAAATAAAGATACATAAATGACATAACAACACACAGAATAATGACAATATGTCCGCCTGACTGTGAATAAGAAGTTGAAGAAACAAGAAATTGTTCATATTCATGTGATTCTTAGCATATATTTTACATGATTTAATGACTGAATTTAACATTTATAATACTTTTTTCGACCTTAATTTATGTTGTCCAAAAATTGTTCATTAAAATGGGTAAGAAAGAAAACTGGTATAATTAGGGAAAATTTCGCTAAAAACTATGAATGTTTTTGTATAATCTGAAAGCTTGCTATTACAATTAAGATATTCAGTTGGATATGGGATAATAATGTGTTTATGTGGAATGGCAATTATCACATTTGTAGTTTATATTTTTGTGTAAAAGCAATAAAAAATACTCAAGAGAATCTCATATTTGTTAAAGTTATTAAATTATTGATGGGTTGTAAAAACATATTACTGTTTATATTGTGAACAATTTTTTTTTAGATCTACATAACTTAATTTTTTTCAATTTTCAAACAGTGAACTTTGTATATTTTTGCAAAACAGACTTTAATATTGTAAACATTATTTTACTTTTTACATAAATTTATGAACTTAGTTTTTTTTTTTTGCAAAACAGACTTCTTTAATATTGTGAACATTAATTACTTTTTACCTGGCATACATACTGCAGTTTCTTTTTATCATGAACTTTATAACTTTTTTTTTGCAAAACAGATGTAAGTCTTCAATTTTGCGAACTTTATATTTTTGCAAACAGATTAAGTTTAATTTTGTGAACTTAGTAGATCTGTCAAGGCATGCAAGTATTCTATGGAAGTAATCTCAATTATGATTCTTTATTTAATTTTTTGTATGATTACATGTATTTCATATTTTTTTTTGTTCAAAACAAAATTAAACTGTTATATTGCATTTTTGTAGAACATATTTAGAAGTTATAGAAAGTAGTCTACATGGGAGAAATCTGACATGTGTTATAATGAATATTTCAATTTTCAGTAGTGCAGCACAAAGTTTGTGTATGTTATGAAATGAATTTTATGTTTCTTTAGATCAATGAAAATATTCTTTATGGAAAGAATCTGGCTTGTGTTATTGTGAACTTTTTTGTTACATATCTTTTTTTCTTTTGGAAAAAAGTGTTAATCTGTAATATTGTGAACTCCTTGTTTTTACAGAACAATGTATAGAAGGGATCTGGTACAATGTATGTGTAATTGAGATTTTTTTTACATTTCTTTTAAGAATAACTGTTAATCTGTAAGATATTGTGAACTGTATTTTGTTTTGTTGTTGTTGTTTTTTCTTCGGAACATTAAAATACTCAAATCTCTTCAGAATCTCACACTTTTAATTGTGAACATTTTTCATGTTTTACTTGTTCAAAACGAATTGTATCAATAACATTGTGAATATTTTTCTTTTTATAGAGCAATTTAATCATTTTGCTAGGTAATTTATTCCCATTGTTAAGTGGTTGAAAATTTGTAAGTCACTGCCTTAAGGGACATCTGCCTGCTTAAATTCCCCTTGAATGTTTTTTTTTATCAATCTAGGTCAATTTTTGTGTTTCAGAGTAAAACATGTATTGCAATTTTAGATACCTTCAATAGGTAGCTTAGGAAAAATTTAGGATTTTTTTTGTAAATGTGTGAACTGATGTTTATGTGATGTTTTTAGTCAAGTATAAGAAGGGATAGGGCAATATTATTTGTTTTCTCAAAATTTTTATAAGCTACATACATGTATCCATCTTAAAATGGTTGTTTGGATAGTTCTTTATTGACATTCATAAATATTATAATGCTTACTTTTTTGTATACATTTTAATTATATTCACATGTGAACATCATTCAGTGATAATGAAGGCCACCATTTATATTATTTTCCCAACTGTTATAAGGGGTGATATTATAACTAGGCAATATAGCATGAACATATATCTTGCATTACTCAATAACCAATCAAAATTCTTGATAAAAAACCAGTCAACATTTTTGATAAAAAACCAGTCAACATTTCTTTATGGCAAATATATAATCACTGTTGCTTGACTCAAAAGATATCACAAGATGTTTTTCTGTTAAGCAAATTACAATCATATAAAATTATGAAATTAAAAAAAAAATCTGAAATGGTAAGAAAGAAAATTGTTTTCGATATGTTTGCTTGTTTCTTTTTATTTTCTTTTTTTACTTTATTGTAAAGTTTGATGTGAGGGAAAAGGTTGTATTTTGTGCTGAATGTTTTTTTTTTTTTCATTATTTGTAATTGTTATAAATGTAATATATTGGTTATGGTAGTGATGGTATATTTCCGCTTAACCCACCCAGTATAGAGCATGGCCAGCCATCACATCCATGCAGCCTGACTACTCTTTACGCCGTTAGTGGGCTAATTTTAGAATATTTTTATTTAAAAAAAAAACCTTGTGTTTACAATGGACAGTTCCAGCATAAAAGGGACTCCACTGTGGTTTTGAAACAATGGGACTTGAAATAATTTTTTGAGATGTTCCATTTGATGTAGGGTTAGACAAATAACTTATGTGCTAAATTTTAGATCATTTGCTCACTCTGTTATCACTGAATAATTATTTTTCTTGTGAAAATTGACCCAAATGCTTTTCAATAATAATTGGAATAGCACAAAATACGATTTCCAATTTATTTCTGGGTATATTTCTTAATTATCTTTTGCATATTTTTCTGTTTTAAGTGTCCCAGCTTACTTATGTAAGAAATTCAAATTTTATGTTTTTAGACCTTTGGACCTCAGTGGAGTTCCTTTAAAGTGGGGACAAGCCCACTATACAAATTTACAGAGTAATTATTATATATATATTTGAAGTGTAGGTTGTAGAAATGTTGTTTGTTTTACACACAGTCTGGTTATTTTGTCTTTTTATCTTATTAATCAGAGAATTCAAGTACAAACATTGTTTGGTAAATATTGATTTCGAATGTGCATGATATCTTGCTTATTACCTATTTAGTCGGTTACATTACTTTACCAATTTTAAGAAAGCAATAAAAGGATTTAAATATTCATAAAAGTGCAACTGCAAAAATTGCAATTATAAAGTAAAAAAAGGTGAATTTATCAAAAACATAATTGGGTCATGGTCATTATCAATAGATCGTAATTATATCAAGATCAATATAAGTAGATCATAATAAGGTCAAGGTCAGTATCAGTAGATCATAATTAGGTCAAGGTCAGTATCAAAAGATCATAATTAGGTCAAGGTCAGTATCAGCTGATCATTATTTGATCTACATGTAGGTCATTATATATTATCAGAAGAGGAGTAAAACCTCAAGGTCATTATAAGGTAAATGCTATATAATAAAGGTCAGTAACGAGTTATTTTCATTAATAGGTGAAAATTACTTTCCATAGGTCATCAATTGGTCAAGGTTGTTATCAGGTAATGGTTAAAATTATATCAAGAACAGTCATTATCAAGAAAGGTCATTATTAGGTCAAAGGTGGAAGTTCCTATTCAGTAAATTAAATTTAATAAGCTATCCAGTATACGTGCCATAACGTCCCAGACGTTGTCCCGGATCCGGGAAAGTGATGGAAATAGAGTGTCTGTCCCAGAAGCGTCCCGGAGATGATTAATGTCCCGGTATAGGCATGGGCTATGCTACATTAAAGCTTTAAAAAGAAAAGCCAACAATATTGGCTTCTGTTATGATTTCTGAATTTGGTGAATGACTCAATTGATATATTCTTTTCATGTGATTGATAAATGTGATTAATGTACATCTGTAATATGTAATAGCAATTAATCTTCTGAAAATTATTAACAATTACATGTATACTTAACCTTTAGAATGTTTTAGTTTTGTTACTGACCTAGTTTATTCACCATCTTTTGTTAGAAATTGTCACATCACCCGAGTGCAATATTAGGTTAACTCCTGTTGAAATTTAATACAAATTAACTTATTTCTGCACTCAGGTGTGCTTTATTACTGCTGCATGTAAATGCTTTAATTCACAAATTAATTACAAGAGTATATATAACTTGATGTTGCTTTTTATTATACAAAAACTCCCTTTGTGGCCAAGTGGTTGCCTTTAAAGGTTAAAACATCACAATTGCAGCCACTGTTTATCCCTGCATGATCTTAAGATGTGACTAAATTATGGGTAAGAATAACTGGAGTCTAATCATCTTTTTACTCCAGCAGGTAAGGTGGTTTTGGCCCCCTGGTGGTGCTTTAGGTTTGGAACACTGTAAACTTTCCAGCTTTAACAATGGAGGAAAACATACAGCGTCCATTTCTACATTGTCAGATATGTACAAACACCTTTATAGAACCACCAACCTTTCCTAAAATAGCCAAATAGCTTCAATTAAAGGTGGCAGGAAGGATTCAAACCCACAGCAGTGAGGGGTAAGAAGTTCAGTCATCAATTTAAACCACTCAGCCATTAGGGCCCCTGATGAGATTAATAGCCAACCACTACTAAACTTTCACGAAAAGATTTTGCTAGAAAGCAATGGTCACCTGACACCTTATGACACTTAACTAAATCAGCTTTCCTTTCCATATCTAAATTACAGGGATATACAATAACAAATCAATTTAGGTATAACAGATTTATAACATGATTTTATTTTAACAAAATTAACACTGTGAACAAATAAATGATTCAGTCATCAGGACAGAGTTTATGAAGGCACTGGTACATCATCTTTAACATTTCATCAAGCTGTGACAGGAACTGTGTCAATGTTTCCCTGAAATATACACAAAAAAACATCATACACTCGGGGGATATACACAAAATTACAGCATTCACTCGTGAAATATACACCAAATAACATCATACCCTCGTGAAATATACACAAAATAACATCATCACCTCGTGAAATATACACAAAATAACATCATACCCTCATGAAATATACACAAAATAACATCATACCCTCGTGAAATATACACAAAATTACATCATCACCTCGTGAAATATACACAAAATAACATCATACCCTCATGAAATATACACAAAATAACATCATACCCTCATGAAATATACACAAAATAACATCATACACTCATAAAATATACTCAAAATAACATCATACCCTCGTGAAATATACACAAAAAATATCATACCCTCGTGAAATATACACAAAATAACATCATACCCTCGTGAAATATACACAAAATTACATCATACACTTGTGAAATATACACAAAATAACATCATACACTCGTGAAATATACACAAAATTACATCATACACTCGTGAAATATACACAAAATTCCATCATACACTCATAAACAAAATAATATCATACCCTCGTGAAATATACACAAAATAACATCATACACTTGTGAAATATACACAAATAACATCATACACTTGTGAAATATACACAAATAACATCATACACCCGTGAAATATACACAAAATAACATCATACACTTGTGAAATATATACAAAATTACATCATACACTCGTGGAATATTCACAAAATAACATCATACACTCGTGAAATATATACAAATAATATCATACACTTGTGAAATATATACAAATAACATCATACACTCGTGGAATATTCACAAAATAACATCATACACTCGTGAAATATATACAAATAACATCATACACTTGTGAAATATATACAAATAACATCATACACTCGTGAAATATATACAAATAACATCATACACTCGTGGAATATACACAAATAACATCATACACTCGTGGAATATATACAAATAACATCATACACTCGTGAAATATATACAAATAACATCATACACTCGTGAAATATATACAAATAACATCATACACTCGTGAAATATATACAAATAACATCATACACATGTGAAATATGCACAAATAACATCATACACTTGTGAAATATATACAAATAACATCATACAATCGTGGAATATACACAAATAACATCATACACTCGTGAAATATATACAAATAACATCATACACTTGTGAAATATATACAAATAACATCATACACTCGTGAAATATATACAAATAACATCATACACTCGTGAAATATATACAAATAACATCATACACATGTGAAATATGCACAAATAACATCATACACTTGTGAAATATATACAAATAACATCATACAATCGTGTTTTCATTCTATTTCTTTTCTTTACGGAGTTTTATAACCCTGTCCCTACCTATGTTGTATAATGAGCTTTTTTCTCCGTTCAATTTGGAACACTCAAGTCAGCTTTTTTTCATGATTCAATATTTAAAAGCTGAGAGTTGAGCAGCCAATAAGAAAGAGTTTGACATGCAGGCATGAAAGTCTTTACTGTTATCATTCTATAAGTTTATTCTTATTTACTAACAATTCTGCCACAGATACCTTTTCTGTGACAGTATGTAAAAACTGTTTGTGAAATATAAAACTGGTAAAACATGTTACAAATATGGAAAACTGGTTAAAACTATCCAAAATATAGAACACTGGTTTAAAGTGTCCCAAATATAGAACACTTATTAGAACTACACTGGTAAAAACTGTTACTAAAATATAAAACTTACCTATAGGATAATTTGCTATATAAAGTCAGAAGCTGTATAGGTGTAACTATACCAACTGGAACATTATCCTGAAAGAGTTACAGTACTTTTAAATTTAACCCTTAAAACTGCTGAATTTTTATAATGGATTTGCCCTGCTATGAATTTGGAACAGTGCATTTGAAGTTTAAGCTGGAAAACAGATTCTTACATGCCCTGCAACATGTTGTTATCATGATCAACATGTTACTGCATAGTATATTCAAAATCCACCCAGGAAGGATGGTATTCTTGACTGGACATGACAAACTATATGCACTTTTATGAAAAATTCTTTTGAAGTGTGACCATAACCTTTGACCTACAAATCTGGATCTTGAGAGTGGTGACACATTAATGCAAAATTCATATCAAAATCCAACCTGGAATTACAAAGTAATAGACCAGATAAAACTGAAGCAGTGAGCTAGTGGTTAAGGTGTATGCCTCTCAACCCAGGGATCATGGGTTCGAGCCCTACTTAGGTGAGGACCATGTTTCTTCATGACACCAGTACTGGTTGCTTCCAGTAAGCAGACTCAGAAGTGATTAATATAAGTTGCAAGAACTTGTTTCCCAATGAAGCTTACATAAATATGTTTTAACCAAACCATATAAAAGACCCAAAGGCTATTAAAAATCTATATGCCACCCTTAAGGTGCATAAAACTGTTTACCAAAAATTAAATCAGATAATTTTTTACTTTCATATAATAAAGACATAATAACTTTGTAAACAAAATGATTGAACTATGAGTGACATATTATCACTAGTCCTGTACTTATCAAGAATCTTTAAACAAAGGCATTTCAAATATTTCAAACTATGGCAAATGAAATATTGTTTGTTTTTTTTTTTTGTTGTTTTTTTTTGCTTTTTGTTACATTCATATTTAGCCTATAAAACATACCTGAACATTTAATCTGCTGAAGAAAGTGTTACACACTTGACTTAATGCTGTAAACTCTTGTTCTCTATTTGAGAGATCAGTGACCGGTAACTCTAGCAACCTGCAAACATTTTAAATCTTAGTATCATCATACAAACAAACTATATCCCAATTATATAAAAGATATCAACATTAAATGACTGTGAGGAAAAGTAGAAAATAAAATAAATTCCAGCCTCATTGACTAAGTCTTTATCAACTTCAAAATGCAACAAAGGGGATTTTGTATTGTGTTTTGTTATGTTTATGTTATGTTATGTCACACACTGTAAAGGTAAAATAGCATTTTCTATCCAGCTTTGTTTCCGGAGGGAGACCTGCATTGACACTCCTTGCATTATTTCGAGCATAAACGGGCAACTAAGTAGAACCACCAACGTTCTGTAAGCTTCTGGATAGCTTCCTCACATGACAGAATTCAAAGTCTCTGGCAGGATTCAAACCCACAGCAGTGACGGGCATACAACCATGCAAGGAAGCTACTTACCAATTTAATATCTAAGATAATTCTGTCAATACATAAATGCTCTGTAAAACTGTGTGGCACACAGATGGATGGAAAGAACAGACTTGCAAAAAAAATTGGAGATAACAATAATCAACTTCTTGGCAGGAACCTCCTACTTTTTTATTTAAAATATAAAATTATATATATTCAGCATTTAATTCAAATCTATTATACTTGCTCAACAGTGATTTATTGAATATTCAAAATATTCATGTTTTACGCTGCTTAATTTACAGTTACATAACAAGCTGTGAGCCCTAACTTACCCAGCATAGTATTTCCTCAACTCCAGGCTCGTTGATACAAGTACTTTTAAAACTGGTTGGATATTTCTTAATACATCTGGGTCGGTACTTGTCGATATTGTTCTGTAAAACTCGTCACTGAAATCAGACATATATATTTTATATTTTTATCACATAGCCTTGCTTTGTTCTGTATGATATACAACCATAATGTACTTCTTCACAATTACACATATACAATATACTTAAGACATCATTTTTGCGTCTAAATAAAATAGTAAAAAAGTGTACAAAACCGCTGATAAAATACCAAAACAAGTTAATTTGAATAAATAACTTCAAAGTCATGTGATACAAAGAACCTCACAAGTGTTGTCATATATAATATAAAATTTCATTAAACTTGCTAAAGACATGTCCACCTGAACTCATTTCATAAACATTTATATCATAATAATATACAGAAAATCAAGCGAGAGTCAATGATATGCAAATGTCTCCTTTCTTCAAGAATTTCAACTATGACAAGAGGGCCATGATGGCCCTGAAGTCGCTCACCTGTATATAGGCCCCGGAGCGGGGCCAGTTTAAACCCCAGGGCTTTTATTTGAACAAACTTGGTAGACACCCATTAGAAGATATTTCATGCTTAACATCTAAGGTCTAGCTGGTCAAGTTTTTTTCTTTACACATATAGTTAAAAACAATGACACACCTGGGGCAGGGCCAGTTTTGATCCAAGGGCTTTTATTTGAACAATCTTTGTAGACACTTACTAGAAAATGTTTCATGCTTAATATCTAAACTCTAGCTATTTGGGCTTTTTCAAAGAAGACTTTTACGTTTTTGCTATACACATATAAGGAAAATCAATGTCAGCCGGGGCAGGGCCAATTTTGACCCCAGGGCTTTTATTTGAACAAACTTTGTAGAAACTCACTAGAAGATGCTTCGTGCTTAATATCTAAACTCTAGCTATTTGAGTTTTTTCAAAAAAGATTTTTTACAAGTTTTTGTATATCACATATAAGGAAAAGGAATGACCCCCGGGGCGGGGCCTATTTTGACCCCAGGGCTTTTATTTGAACAAACTTGGTAGACACTCACTAGAAGATGTTTCATGCATAGTATCTAAACTCTAGCTATTTGGTTTTTTTCAAAGAAGATTTTTTAAGTTTTTGCTATACACATATAAGGAAAATCAATGACCCCCGGAGCGGGGCCAATTTTGACCACAGGGCTCTTATTTGAACAAACTTAGCAGACATCCATTAGAACATGTTTCATGCTAAATATCTTAGCTCTAGCTCTTTGGGTTATTTAAAAGAAGATTTTTTTAAGTTTTTACTATATGCATATAGGGAAAATCAATGACCCCCTGGGGCGGGCCAATTTTGACCCCAGGGCTTTTATTTGAACAAACTTGGTAGACAACCATTAGAAGATGTTTCATGCTAAATATCTTAGCTCTAGCTCTTTGGGTTATTTAAAAGAAGATTTTTTTAAGTGCAATTTTTACTATATGCATATAGGAAAAATCAATGACCCCCTGGGGCGGGGCCAATTTTGACCCCAGGGCTTTTATTTAAACAAACTTGGTAGACACTCACTAGAAGATGTTTCATGCCAAATATCTAAGCTCTAGTTCTTTGGGTTTTTTAGAAGAAGATGTTTAAAGTTTTTTCTTTTGGTTGCCATGGTAACCAGAGTTCTGCATGGAATGGAATTCTTTGAACAACTTTGTTAAGGCTTCAAACAAGGAACATCCCTGTGAAGTTTCATTATGATCTGCCTTATGGTTTCAGAGGAGATGTCGTTTGAAAAGTGTGAACGGACAACGGACGACGTACGACGGACAACGGACGAAGAGTGATCCTAATAGCTCACCCTTAGCATATGCTCAGGTGAGCTAAAAAACAATGACCTCTGCACTCCCCCCCCCCCTGGCAGGGCCAATTTTAACCCCAAGGGCTTTTATTTGAACAAACTTGGTAGACACCCACAAGAAGATGTTTCATGTTAAACATCTTACCTCTAGCTCATTGGGTTTTTTAAAAGAAGATATTTTAAGTTTTTACTATACACATATAATTAAAAACAATGACACCTCTGGGGCGGGGCCAGTTTTGAACAAACTTTGTAGACACTTACTAGAAGATGTTTCATGCTTAATACCTAAACTCTAGCTATTTGGGTTTTTTCAAAGAAGATTTTTAAGTTTTTGCCATACACATATAAGGAAAATCAATGACCCTAGGGCATATAAAAAAGAATGGTCTAACTTACCAGTATTTATAAATGCATCTCCATATGTTAGATAAATGTTCACCTGCCATCAATTCTGGACTGGAATCACTTTCTGCAACATTTGTCACAGTCTTATCACAACTCACTGATGAAACAGCTGGATTTATTTCAGACACAGTCTGTGAATTTTGACTAGGTAGGGAATGAAGGGGACCAGTCTGTGAATTTTGACTGGACAAAGTTTGTAGGGGACCATTCTGTAAGTTCTGACTAGAGAAAGTTTGTATGGGACCAGTCTGATTAGAATGATATATATTGGAATGTGGGTGGGGAACAGAATGAGCTGTTTCAGTGTCTGTATGAGGTTTTTGCGTATTTATCACAGACGTGGAGGCTGTACACTGACTAGTGTGTACAGCTGTATCATCATTGGTCAATCCTGTACTGCTATCAACATTTAATGTAGCATCAACCTATAAATAAAAGAAAAAATTTCAAAATTTAAAATGACAATATGCTCATGTTCCACTGTCGAACTGAACAGCATCAGCTATATTTTTCACCAAAAAAAATGTCAGTTTTGATCATGAAGGAATAATTGACAATGGTAACTGTTAAGAGTCAAATATAAAAAAGTTTTAAACATCTGCTCCACTCTTTTACCACTTCATAAATAAACTAATCCCTCAATACTGTTGACTTGAATCCTATGACAATGACAATCAATGTTATAAAATTCTTTCATATCAGGAAGCTAAATCTAAACTAAGGAATATCCATTATCCTTCATCAAAGGTGCCCTCATATGGAGAAAACGGTGCACAGATTGGCATGCAAGGGTATCTTCCACAAATACAGATGGAAAATCATCCTAAAGACCTTACTTATGCTGAAACGACATTAAATCCATCCTATCAAACAAGAAAGGTATCATTGCCCTTTATCACTCACCTAAATATTCTAGGTTCGGTCATCTTCAGTCCCAATTTCCAAAGTTTTGAACATATCATGTTAATCAGATATCATTACCTGTGAATTAATGTAATGTTCCAGGTTCGGTACATTAGCTGAGGTCATCTTCGGTATCTTGCCACACAAATCTCTAATCACCGTCACAGTCTTTGAGATCTCCCATAACCTTGAACTGTACCTGAATTAACATCATCAAAATGTGTAACAATTTTATATACCTAGAGTTTATCGCAAAATTACAGTAACTTATGTGAAATACAGAAGGACTTACAACTGTATTGCGTTCAACCCTTGATATAATAAAAAAAAAAATATTCATAAACTAACACAAATTATCAGTACATCTTCACCTTAGTGCAGTAACAGGTTAACTCCTATTAAATTATATAATGAGTAAATCCCTTACTGCACTAAGGTGACAATATGTATTTCTTTTTATTAGCTTCTTTTGTTGATACCATTAATAACAAAGGCATCGATGTTAACATGCCAAACTGACGTTGCTGATAAGACGCCACTTTTGAAGCAAAGAACATACATTATAATATAAAATGTCAATTAATGTTTAATACAATAAATAATGCATATAGATGTTTGTATAATTTTTGAAAACTTACTTATGAATAAGTGGATGTTAATAATATCATACAAATATAAATCCTAACAAAACTGGCTAGAAGGTGACAATCTGAAAGACATAACTTACAACCTTGGTAAGGGTAAAAAAAAAAATTAGTCCCCCCCCCCCCCCCCCCCCCCCCCCCCCCCCCCCCCCCCCCCCCCCCCCCCCCCCCCCCCCCCCCCGATTTAAGAGTTAATAAATCTACCTACATGTTGGTAAAAGCAGCTTTCTCCAAGATTTCTGTACTTTCATCACAAATATCAGTAACAACATCCAAAGTTATACCTGGAAAAACAATCACAGATCTTTTTCTTTTTTTGAAGAAGAAGAAATGCAAATTATAAATTTTTACAACACTGCCTTTTGTGTCAGCGATTTTCATTGGACAATTATGATGTTTATATTATTCATATACACTGTTATATGGTATATCCTCACCTTATTGCAATAACTGATTAACTCCTATCAAATATTTTAAGGATTTAACCTGTCACTGCATTAAGGTGACAATATGGTCACAAGGTTTGTGAACAGCTGCTGGGCCATTAGAACCTATAGAAAAATTGCTAATAATCTATACGGGTTCAGATGGGTTGATTTATATGCACAGGTATTTAAAATTAAAAATTTTGTTTCTATACAAATGTATATCAAGGAAAGAATTAATGAAAACATACAATCTATGGCATAGCACAATATGATCCATCTGCCTGAAGAGTGGTGGCTTGACCAAGTGGTAAACGGGTCAGACTAGTAACCTAAAAATTGCTGACTGCGTGGGTTCAAACCATGTCAGGGACAAGCCGTTGTTTCTTTGAGCAAGAAACTTTACTTTCATTGCTTAGTATTGGTTGGTTCCAGGAACAGTTTTGAGAGTTTTTCAAAAGCAAGCCAAAACAATAGAAAAAAAAAAATTTTTGTACAAACTAAAAATCCACACTTAAAAAACAATAATATATGCTTAAAATTTGTCCATATATACAAGCTGGGGCCAACCTTTAAAACAACAGGTTCCAAAACACACTGTAAACAAAGAAATTCGTGTAATCAAGCCAAATTTTTTTAAAAAAAATTTAAAAACAAAAATTCAGAAATGAAGGTTTGCGAAAAAATTTTAGCTTTGAAAAATTTTAACACAAAAATTTTTTATCAAAGAAAAAAAAATATGCGAAAAAAAGCATGAATTTCATTTTACTTAGACTCATGGAAAAAATGGACTAATTGGTAATCAACTCTTGGAAGTTCTACTGTGTTACATTATACTGCTCATACGGTTGTGGTCAGCAGTTTTCTTTTTCCTATTTTATGTCATTTCATTTACAATAACTATCAAAGTCTCACCTTTACACCTAGATATATTGGCAAGTAAACTGTCAACATTAGCGGACAGGTATCTTGGAAACACAAATCCAAACACAGCTCTCCAGTGCCTGCAAATATATTTATCTGACATGTATAATGCAAATAATTTTCTTGAATTCTGATTGGCTGAAACACTCTGTTTACTATGCCATATATACCATTAAGAACTGAAGCACCTACAAAAAGCAATGATTTATCTTATGATAATAGTAATCTTCATGTGTGCATAATATTCAATATTGCTTTCAGTCCTTTATGCCATATTTCTCGTTACATTAAAAATATAAAAGTTACACTGTAATGATGACTTTATACTTGAATTAATTTTGATAGCTCGGCTTACAAGTATTTGTTTAAGACATGACATCATCTTCTTTACATTCCACTTTTTCCTGCGCTTTGATGAAAAACATTCTCGTTAATTTATGAAAATTGCCAATATATCCATATCGCTAATAGCCTTTCTGACATTTAAAAATATATATAACCGTTCGTTAGCATCTAGGGTCATATTTAACTCATTCAGGCTATATTCTCCTGTAGATGTGACCGTGACAGATGGATCATGTGACCGTGACAGATGGATCATGTGACCGTGACAGATGGATCATGTGACCGTGACAGATGGATCATGTGACCGTGACAGATGGATCATGTGACCGTGACAGATGGATCATGTGACCGTGACATATGGGTAATATGACCGTGACAGATGGGTAATATGACCGTGACAGATGGGTAATATGACCGTGACAGATGGGTCATGTAACCATGACAGATGTAAACTAACGGAGAGTAATGACCATAATCTACTACTTACTTTTTCCAACACTCTAGTATAGCTTTTAAATCCCACGGTGGTTTTCTGTACACAATGTCTGTCCTAAAATACAAACAAATAATCATTACATATCAAGATTTAACAGCAAACCTTTTTTTAACCATTAACCACCTTGGAGAGCGAGTGAGTAGCTTTACCCACTAGCATAGAGCCACACCAACATTCACAACTGGTGGTGGTGGTGGTGTTGGTAGATTTTACTACTGATCACAACAATAAGTTACACTAAATTTACCAGAGTACAGTTCAGCCACACTTTCATAAAACTTCCCTCAACCATCTAAAATTATCACATTTCATTTCAGAAAATGATCAAAACTGGATAATTAAATTATCATATCAATAAATTCAAATGCGCTTTTACCATATGTCATCATATGCTTTTTGCATCTCAACTTCAAGTATTTTTCCTAGTGCCTCATGTAATACTGACTTCATCTTACAGTACATGTCATCTACCTGTAATATATGTAACGTCAGTAAAAAGTCGCTCCCTTGTATGTTACAATGTTAAACAACAAGTTAGCCTCCCTTTTTTAATGTAATTTATGTTAAACACAAGTAAAGATCAATTTCAAATGTTACTACATGCAAGCACAAGTTTTTTGCTTTCGCCTTTTAATTGTTAGATATGATTGAAACCCAAGTTTGCTGCCCCCTTTTTCATGTTTAGCCAATTCTAACACAAAGTTAGTCCCTTTTTCATGTAACTAATGTTCAACAAGTTAAAGCTCAAATTTCATGTTATTATGTTAACACAAGTTAGCCTGCATTTCATGTAACTATTTTAACAGCAAGTAAGTCTCATTTTCATGTTACTCACATCAACACAAGTAAGCTTCCCTTTTCATGTTTACTATGTTAACACAAGTTTAGCTCATTTCATGTAACCCTATGTTTAACACAAAGTTAGCTTCCTTTCATGTAACTATGTTAACACAAGTTAGCTCATTTCATGTAACTATTTTAACACAAGTAAGCTCATTTCATGTTACTACATCAACACAAGTAAGCTCCCTTTCATGTTACTATGTTAAAACAAGTTTGCTTCCTTTCTTGTTACAATGTTAACACAAGTTAGCTCCCTTTCATGTTACAATGTTAACACAAGTTAGCTCCCTTTCATGTTACAATGTTAACACAAGTAAGCTCCGTTTCATGTTACAATGTTAACACAAGTAAGCTCCCTTTATTAGGCTTAATAAAATATTTAAGTGGAAGGCAGCTCCCTGAAACACAGTATTGGTACAAATGAGTTTTAGCTCAAAATAATGTAAGGTCAGCATCCTGTAGTACTCATTACTAGAACAAGTTAGCTCTCTGTAATTAAATGTCAGTGGCAAGTTAGCTCCCTTCAATAAAACAATGAAATTTTATCCCCCCTTTTAAATAACATTTTCCCTTTTTTTAAACCCCAAGCAATTTTTCCCCCCTTTTTAAAAACGGGAATTTTGCCCCTTTTTTAAATTTCAACCCTTTTTTCCCCCCTTTTTACCCCACAAGTTTCCCCCTTTAATAAATAAATTTTATGTTAACTATAAAGAGCCCAACTTTAGGGAAAAAAAAAATTTTTTTGATTGTTTGTTTTCACCCCCCCAAGTGTTTCAATGGTAATTTTATTTCCTCCCTTCAAAATTTTATCAGCAAGAAGCGACTGTTGGGGTGGGCAGCAATAATGTCACCCACTTTTCTCTCCAACACTGGCGGGCCCTTCCCCGCCATAGACGGGACTTTTTTTCCCAAAGTAATCCACACTTTTTTAAGCTTTTTTTTAAATTTCAATTTAAAACGGAATTGCTTGAGCTGGACTTTTAACAAAAATTTTCCTGACTTGGGAAAGGTTTAACATTGCCCTGTAGTGAGGGATTTCCCCCCCAAAAAACAGGTTTTTGTCAATTTGGGTTTTAAAGCCAGTCAAAGTTCCAAAAATTTTAAAAATAATCAAAAATTTTTAAAATTTAAAACAATGTTAATGCATGGGTTTTAATTTTTTCTTGGGGTTTAAAAACTTTTTAACCCATGTAGACTTTCCATAACTTTGACAAAGAATTTCCCTTTTAATTGAAAAAAACAATAAAAAAAAGCTTTAACCAAAAAGTAAACAATAAAATTTATTATCATTTTATGCCCTTTGGACCAGGCTCGAACCACGAACTCAAAAACCCACCGGGGGTAATTTTTGACCCAAATTCCAAAATGCTTACAAAATTATCTCCCCTAATTAGTGAAAAAGTTTAATATTTGGAATTTTGTGAAAGGGTTTTTTTTGTCAAATAGAAAAATTGGTCTTAATAAGAAAACAAAAAGAATCGGGCAAAAAAAATTTTAAATTTGTTTTTTTTTTTTGGTAATTAATGGTCTTAACTGTTGTTAAAAAAAATTTAATTTTTTTAAATATAATGTCATTAATATAAAAATTACCCCTAGGGCTTTTTTTGGGAAAAAATGATAAAAGGGGAAAAAAAAATCACAAGAGAAATTTTGGAAGGGTTTTTTTTAAAACTCATTACTAAATGGGTTGCCTTTTATAAAAATTTGGAACATTTTTTTAAAAAAGCCCAATTTTATTTTGAAAAGGGGAAATGGAAAAGTTTTTTCCCCATTCAAATTTTTTTAAATTAAAAACAATTTCAGAAGAATTTCAAAATTTTTCCAAAAAATTTTGCTGTGAAAAATTTTTTTAACTCAAGGGAATGAGCATAGAATATCTTTAAAGATAAAAATGCAGCAGAAAAAAACTAAAATTTTCCCTTTTGCTGTGAAAGCCGACACATTATTTCACGGGGGCTTTTTTTAATTAAATTATTGTAAATTTGTTAACGCACAGAAACAAAAACCCTGCAAAAAAATTCTTTTAAATTTATCTCAACTTTTTCCCAAAAAAGGGGGCCACTTTTAAAAAAAAAAGCCCTTATTTTTCTAAAACAAAAAAAAATTTCCTGCATTACAAAAAAAAGAAATAATGAAGTTACTGTTTAAAACCCAAAAAATGATAAAAATGGACATTGGAGCCGTGTACGAAAAAAACCAAACATAATGCTTTTGGCGACCAGTTTGGATCCAGCCCACCCTGAGCATCCCCCCAGTCTGTTTCAGGATCCATGCTTTTTCGTTTTTTAACAAAAAAAAAAGGGTGAGAAACTGATAGAAAACAGCATAAATCCTGATAAAGATTTGCGCGGCCCGGGTTTCCTGGATCCATCCCTGGTCGAAAAACGCACTATTTTGGTTTTGTTTTACGGGGTTTAAAATTAAAAATTCGGGATGGTAGTCAAAAAAAACGGATTTTTGTTTATTTTATTTCCAAAGTGAAAAAATTTTTCTGAAGTTGATCTTTTGAAAATTTTGGGAAATGCTTCATTGGGTTTCCCCAAAAAGCTTTTGAAACCAAATTTGGGCCCAACATTTTTTAAAAATAAAAACAAACTTGTTTTTTTTAAAATTTTTTTTTTTTTTTTTTTTTTTTTTTGGGTGCCTTTTTAAAATTTTCCCTTTTTTTTCTTTTTAAAAGGCTGTAACAAATGGGGTAAAATCTATAAATCATGTAAATTTAATTTTTATTTACCTTTTTTCTGACCATTTGTAAAAAAAGCCTGGAGAATGTTGTCATCATTAAAAAGTAAAAATGGGAAAAAATTGTGAGATGCTTCCTGGGCCCTAAAATTTTAATAAAGGCTTTTTGCAGTTATTTTTTTGGGGTTTTGGTTTAAATTTCACACTAACAATTTTAAAACGTAATTTTCGTAAACCTTTTTTCAAAGTGGCCAGTTTACGGGTTTAACAAATCAAAATTAAAAATGGGAAATTTTAGCCTTTTACTGCAAAAAGTCATAAAAATTTGGGTGACCTTTTCTTTAATGAAGTTTGCATTTTTTAAAGGAAACAAAGATGTAAACCTTTAAATAAACCCCAATTTCCCCCTTTCATTTAAGACCACCCTGCTTTTGCTCCCTTTTTTTTTTTTTGGGCCCGGGAAATGTTGCAACAACACGAAAAGGGGGGTTCATATGGGCCCATTTTTTTAACTGGTAGAGGAAGACCTCGGGTGCCCCCCCCCTTTCTGTACATTATTTAGGAAAAAACGAAAACCTGGGGGCAAAAATAAACCCATGATATGAAAACTTAAGCTGGATAGCTTTCTCAAAAATTAAAAAAAATCTAAAAGACCCTTGCACCCCTTTAACCCTTAAACCTACAGCAGGAGGGGAAAAGGGGTTTTAAATTTCAACCCCCTTAATACATTTCAGACACATATTTCCCATTTATAAGTTGGTGGTTTGCTTTTTTAAAGGGTGAAAAAACAAAAAAAAATTTTGAAAGGGGTCTAAAAACCCATGGGAAATAAAGGGGTAAATATTTTCAAAATTAGGGCCCTTTTAACCACTCATATTAAAAAAAGAAATTAAACCCTGAAAATTCTTTATTAAAATATTTTTCATAAAAAAAAACAAAAAAGGGGCATGTTTGGCCCCTGAATTTTGGCTCCGACTTTTTTTTATAGGCCCCAAAGGGAAACCCGGGGCCAATTTTTTAAAATTTCCAAAGGGGCTTTTATTTTGCCCCACCAAACTTGGAAAAATTTAAAACCCCGGCCCCCCATTAAAAAAGATGTTTTAAATGTTTAAACATCTAAGGCCCTACTCGTTGGGTTTTTTAAAAAAGAAAAATTTTTTAAAGTTTTTTCTTTACCATATATTTAAAAAAATTACACCCCTGGGAAAAAGGGCCCCAAAGTTTTAAACCCCGGGCCCTTTTTATTTGAACAAAATTTTTGTAGACACTTACAAAGAAAAATTGTTTCCCTGTTTTAAAATTTAAAAACAAAGGGCTTTTCGGGTTTTTTTCCCGGGGGGAAAAATTTTTTAAGTTTTTGTTATAACACTTTAAAAGGAAAATAAATTTGCCCCCTGGGGGGGGGCCCAATTTTTGCCCCAAAGGGGCTTTTAAGGAAACAAATTGGTAGAAAAACATCCATATACAACATGTTTCATCCTGAATATGCTTTAGCTCTAGCTTCTTTGGGGGTTTTTAAAAGAAGATTTAATAAGTTTTTGCTATACGTTAATAGGGAAAATCAATGAACCTTTCCCTGGGGCGGGGCCAAATTTTTTGAACCCCAAGGGCTCTTATTTGAACAAAACTTGGTAGACAATCCATTAGAAATGTTTAATGCTAAAAATATCTTAGCTCTTAGCTCTTTGGGTTCCTTTAAAAGAAGATTTTAAAGTTTTTACTAAATATGCATATAAGGAAAAATCAATGACCCCTGGGGGCGGGGGCCCAATTTTGACCCCAGGGGCTTTTATTTGAAGAACTTGGTAGACCACCCATTAGAAGATCGGTTTCATGCTAAAATATTCTTAGCTCTAGCTCTTTGGGTTCTTTAAAAGAAGACTTTTTTTAAAGTTTTTTACTATATAACATATAGGGAAAAATCCAAATGACCCCCTGGGACGGGCCAATTTTGACCCCAGGGCTTTTATTTGAACAAACTTGGTAAGACACTCACTAGAAGATGTTTCATGCCAAATTTAATCTAAGCTCTAGCTCTTTGGGTTTTTTAGAAGAAGAAATTTAAAAGTTTTTTCCCTTTTTGGTTGCCATGGCAACCAGAGTTTCTGCATAGAATTAAATTCTTTGAACAATTTTCAAAAGGTGACAACATCAAAAGGAACAATCCTGTGAAGTTTGGATGAAAATTGGCCTATTGGTTTAAATGAAAAAGATGTCATTTAAAATAAAAGTTTACGGACGACGGACAGTCCGGAAACGGACGCCGGACGTAAAGCGATACACAAAAGCTCTCCCTGTCAAAAGTGACAGGGTGAAGCTAAAAAACTTCAATGTTGTTTTCACGTTTCTCATTGGTTTTAAGTTTTGGAAAGAAACCCAAATCTGAATAAACCCTATCAAGGTGGAAATTTTTTAAATGATTTTTTTTGTTTGTTTTTTTTGGGTTTTATGTTCATTTTTTACTGGTGGGGGAAAGGACCTCAGATCCCCTTTTCCGGCAATTTTTTTTAGGCACGAACGGGCCCACCTTTTTTAGAACCCACCCTTTCCCCTTTTTAACTAGCTGGGGTTTTTTATGAAGGTTTTATGGTATACACCAAAAGAGTTAGAGCAACCTAAATCAAAAATACCTAAATAGTTTCTTTTTTTTTGGTAGTCTTCCCCCATTCAATTTTGAACAAAACCAATAATCAGGTTTAAAAAAAATCAAAAAAAGTACTGACTGAATAGCAAAAAGTGCAAACCCATGAAAGATGGGACAATTAACTAGCTGTTTTTTGGTTTCACTGGTTTGCAAGATTATATTCAAATTGGGTTTCCAGTAGACCCAAAAAGGGTTAATTTTTGTAATTTTTAAAAAAAAAAATATCCCCTTTTAATTTTTCAACTGACATATCTAAAATTCAAAAAACTAGGCCCAAAGCCACTCCCATAACCCTTTGGGGGAAAAAAGGGGAAATTCTAAAGGAAAATATTTTTATAGATTTTTTTTGGGTGTTAACTACAAAAGACTAAAAGTTAAATAAACCCCTTTTTGGGGGTTTTGTCCTTTTACACGAGGAGTTTTCCAAAGAACAACGGGCCCCTTTTAATGGTTAAAAGGTTTCGTTCCCCTTTCTACACAAAAATAAATTCCCTGAAAAAAATTTTAAAAAAATGTACGAAAGGATCAAAAAAATGTTTTTGTCCATTAAATTTAAAAAGTTTATTCCCGCATCTAATTCAGCCCAAATTTTAAATTTTTAATAACCTTTTTTTAGGGCTTAAACAAGGGGTTTCCAGCCCATTATTATAAATAAAGGTTTCCCCCCCAAATTTAACCCCTTTGGTCAGCAAACTAAATTAAACCATTAATCAATTAAATATCTAGTAAAACCCTTATTAAACCAAAACAGCCTTTTACAGTTCTTAAGGGATCTAAATAACAGAAAATAAAATTTTTTCAGCATAAAAATGTTAAATAAAAAAGTTTTTTAAGTTTAATTAACATATGGTAAAACATAATGGATGCAAGAAAAATAAAAAACTTGTTTTCAAAAAGGAAATAAAAATTGAATAACTTCAAACAAACCCCGGTTAGAAAATTGTCCCAAATTATGAATTTTCCCTTTTTAAAAACTGGAAAAAAGGGAATAAACAGCATCTTTTTTAAGCCATTAATCTAATTAAGTCTCTAATCAAGCCTTAAATTCTAAGTCATAAATCAGCCATTGATTTTTACCAATTATCTTATTTAAGCTTAAAGTAGCTATGAGAAGTAATTTTTCAAATCCAAGGACCTGATTACCAGCCATTCATCTATCTATTAAAGAGAATTTCCTGTTAAACACTATTTAGCTATTAAAAAAACATTTTTGGTTGCGGGGGTTTAAATTCTAAAATCGCACCAAAACACTACACAGGTCATATGGCAACAATTTCCAGGCTTGAGAACATGTGGAGGAATTTGTGGCATTATTAGAGGCACAGGCAGGAACCACAGTAGAACCACCAACTTTCCATAAGCTAACTGCACAGCTTCCTCACATGAAAGAATCCAAAGTGTCCCTGGCTGGATTCCAACCAATAGCAATGAGGAGCCAGTGGTTAAGTGAAAACTACCTTAGCCACTCAGTCACGAATGGTGCCAAAACAATATGCTTGAGGGAAAATTACATTATAAAAATCAATCAAAATGGGCTCTACATAAACACTATTATAAGAAATGTCTGTCAAAAAGAAATGTTGGTATAGAGATTAAAATATCTGCCATAATGGGGGCATAAATCATATTTCCTCATATGACACCAGTTCTGTTTATTTGCCAAAAGTCAATTTGAGACTGGTCCAAATTTGCTTCAATTCGCTCATCAAGCTATAAATAAGTATGTTTAATCTAAGACCTGATTTTTTAACCTGTTTTTGGCTTGTTTCCAGTCTGTTTCTCTTCATGTATCCTAGTTCACATAAAACAAATCCATGGAATGCGACAATAAGCATAGTTTTTGCTCTGTCTCTAACCGTTATAAATACATTGAGAAAACACCAAAAATATATCATAAATGCCAGGAAACGCAACCACCTATAATATATTTCTATATTACAAAAACAAAAATAACACCAACAAACATATTTTCAAAAACCATAATGAAAACAATATAACAGTTTTTTCAAAAAAATTTAGTATTACTTTTCATATATTTTTGGTTTTACTTTACTTGTCCACGGGGAAAAAATGTTGACACACCCTAAGAAAGTTGGTTTAATTTTTTGGGTAGTTGGCATAAAACAGTTTTGTTTTCCCTTTTAAGGAGGGACCCTGGTTCAATTTTAGCATACCTGGAAATTAGAGCAAAAATGCATGGGACTTTGGTTTAAAAGGATCTAATCTATAAGATAAAAACCAAATGCTTAAAGTCTTTTTTGGGTAATTGAAATTCGAAACTGTGATCCGGGTAATTACTAGTCCTGCTCATAACCCAATGCTTTGTTCAGATTTATAGAATTTTAAACCTACATGTAACAAATGGACTTGTCCAAACTCTAAACTGGGGGAAATCCATTACACCAAAATTTAGGGGTAATTTAGGGGTTATAAAAAATGATTAAAGGGAATAAACTAACCTTGAAGCTGATAATCTTGAGAGTCTCAAACAGAGCCAGGTTTGAGATGAGCAAATTTAGGGGTATTAAGGGGGTATAAATGATTGAGAATAACTTACCTTGAAGCTGATAATCTTTGAGAGTCTCAAACAGAGCCAAGGTTTGCAGATGAGCAAATTTAGGGGTATTAAGGGGGTAATAAATGATGAGAATAACTTACCTTGAAGCTGATAATCTTGAGAGTCTCAAACAGTGCCCGGTTTTGAGATGAGCAAATTTAGGGGTATTAAGGGGGTTATAAAATGATTGAGGGAATAATACTTACCTTGAAGCTGATAATCTTTGAGAGTCTCAAACAGACCAAGGTTTGAGATGAGCAAATTTAGGGTATTAAAAGGGGGTATATAAATGATTGAGAAATAACTTACCTTGAAGCTGATAATCTTTGAGAGTCTCAAAACAGAGCCAGGTTTGAGATGAGCAAATTTAGGGGTATTAAGGGGGTATAAAATGATTGAGGAATAACTTACCTTGAAGCTGATAATCTTTTGAGAGTCTCAAAACAGACCAAGGTTTGAGATGAGCAAATTTAGGGGTATTAAGGGGGTATAAATGATTAAGAATAACTTACCTTGAAGCTGATAATCTTTGACAGTCTCAAACAGACCTAGGTTTGAGATGAGCAAATTTAGGGGTATTAAGGGGGTATAAATGATTAAGAATAACTTACCTTGAAGCTGATAATCTTTGACAGTCTCAAACAGACCTAGGTTTGAGATGAGCAAATTTAGGGGGTATTAAGGGGGTATAAATGATTAAGAATAACTTACCTTTGAAGCTGATAATCTTTGAGAGTCTCAAACAGACCTAGGTTTGAGATGAGCAAATTTAGGGGTATTAAAGGGGGTATAAAATGATTAAGAATAACTTACCTTGAAGCTGATAATCTTTGAGAGTCTCAAACAGACCTAAGTTTGAGATGAGCAAATTTAGGGGTATTAAGGGGGTATAAATGATATAACTTACCTTGAAGCTGATAATCTTTGAGAGTCTCAAACAGAGCCAGGTTTGAGATGAGCAAATTTAGGGGTATTAAGGGGTATAAATGATTGAGAATAACTTACCTTGAAGCTGATAATCTTTGAGAGTCTCAAAACAGAGCCAGGTTTGAGATGAGCAAATTTAGGGGTATTAAGGGGGTATAAATGATTGAGAATAACTTACCTTGAAGCTGATAATCTTTGAGGGTCTCAAAACAGTGCCAGGTTTGAGATGAGCATATTTAGGGGTATTAAGGGGGTATAAATGATTGAGAATAACTTACCTTGAAGCTGATAATCTTTGAGAGTCTCAAAACAGAGCCAGGTTTTTGAGATGAGCAAATTTAGGGTATTAAGGGGGTATAAATGATTGAGAATAACTTACCTTGAAGCTGATAATCTTTGAGTGTCTCAAAAACAGAGCCAGGTTTTGAGATGAGCAAATTTAGGGGTATTAAGGGGGTATAAATGATTGAGAATAACTTACCTTGAAGCTGATAATCTTTGAGAGTCTCAAACAGACCTAGGTTTGAGATGAGCAAATTTAGGGGGTTATTAAGGGGGTATAAAATGATTGAGAATAACTTACCTTGAAGCTGATAATCTTTGAGAGTCTCAAACAGACCCAGGTTTGAGATGAGCAAATTTAGGGGTATTTTAAGGGGGTATAAATGATTGAGAATACCTTACCTTGAAGCTGATAATCTTTGAGAGTCTCAAACAGTGCCCGGTTTGAGATGAGCAAATTTAGGGGTATTAAGGGGGTATAAATGATTGAGAATAACTTACCTTGAAGCTGATAATCTTTGAGAGTCTCAAACAGAGCCAGGTTTGAGATGAGCAAATTTAGGGGTATTTTAAGGGGGTATTAATGATTAAGAATAACTTACCTTGAAGCTGATAATCTTTGAGAGTCTCAAACAGACCTAGGTTTGAGATGAGCAAATTTAGGGGTATTAAGGGGGTATAAATGATTGAGAATAACTTACCTTGAAGCTGATAATCTTTGAGAGTCTCAAACAGAGCCAGGTTTGAGATGAGCAAATTTAGGGGTATTTTAAGGGGGTATTAATGATTAAGAATAACTTACCTTGAAGCTGATAATCTTTGAGAGTCTCAAACAGACCCAGGTTTGAGATGAGAACATTGGTATCCACAACCACTGTAATGATCTGTAAAATAGTAGTCAAAAAGTTTTGACTGATATCTTGTATAGAATGGTTTACAACATTTTGATTTTGATTCAAAAACAAAAAATATTGTAAACCATTCCCACAATATTGATTTGATTGAAAACAATAATAATTGTAAACCGATCCATACAGTATCATTTTCGCTGAAAAAGAAAATTGTAAAAAACAATATTGTTTTGATTCAAAACAAAAAACATTGTAAAACTATTCCATTGCAGTTTTGTTCTGAGTGAAAACCAAAAAAAATTGTATACCATTCCAAAACAATATTGTTTCTGTTGAAAACATAAATACTGTAAACCATTCCACACAGTATTGTTTTTGATTCAAGACAAAACTATTGTAAACCATTCCATACAATATTGTTTTGATTGAAAATTGAATTCATGTAAACCATTCCATACAGTATTGTTTTGATTGAAAAAAATTTTTTAAACACTTCCAAACAATGTTTGATTCAAAACAGAAATATTGTAAACCATCCCATACAAAATACATCTTTAACAAGGTGTACCTGGTTTGACAATTCTATAAGTTTTTCTATAAGCGTAGAAAAAAATAATTAAAACTTTTGTAAATTGATCACATGTCCCCATTGATCAGATGTTATTGTAGAATTGTTCTTATTCTGAAACAGGTGATCAGTCAAATAATACCCTGAAATTTCACTCTGATGGTTAGGAAAAAAAAGATAGGACAAACTAAAAATACAAATTCACCATGGTATAGATTAAATGGTCCATTCTCTCTTCTAACCTGATTTTCACATGTATTATTGCACAGAAATCAATAGTTGATAAAAAAAAAATCTGACATAACTTCGTTTTTACCTTGCTTGTTGCTTTCATAGGTGTAAATTTGTCCGTATAATCAACGAAGCTGCTAGCATTTTGTTTACCAGACCCGCTCACTTGCTGTCTAACCTCAACCAGAACCTCGTCTATATCCATCATTTCCTCCTCATTCTCTTCAATGGGTAATGCCACACCTTCATCCACTGGTAAGTCTCCGCCTACTCCTATTGGAACTGCCCCGCCTTCTCCAGCCCCGCCTTCTCTCTCAGCCAACTTCCATACCCCCTCACCATGTAATTTCTCATCAACCAAGCACTCGTCCACCTCCATACTGACTACAGGCCTTGACACGACATCTGCATCCTTGACGTCTGCTGCCCAGCCTGTTGTGGGAAATAAAAAGAATAGATGATTCACTAGATGATGTATCATAATGATAAACGTAGACTCAAAATAATGTCAAGTTTAGAATTGATAGATCCCTACTCTTGACCTTTTATTTGAATAACAATAGATTTAACCACAAACATTGATATGTGTTCTTTTGTTTACAAAAGGGAAAGCCAGCAGAACAGAAGGACAGCATGTCAGGACAGCAAACGAGAGCAAATCTATATGCCCCTATACCACACCAAGTGGGAGGAATATGAACAAGAGCTGTCACAGGAGACAGCCAAGCTCGACTTATAAAATACTGGACGCAGTAAAGAGGACAAAACTATGAAAGAAAAATCAATTATGTATAATTATGTATTAAGTTATAGTAAAAAATAACATTTGTTAACATAAATTCCAAGATCAAGGGGAATAATTCTAGAAATAGTCTCGCTAGAGTTATGAACCTTGTCACACAACAAGTGTGTAATGATAAGAAATATATATTTGAAGTTTGAAGTAGATACATGTACCTTAAAAAGTAAAGAAGTTATATTTTGAAAAGAAAATCCTAAGTTCAAAGAGAGATGAGTCTGTAAATATTGCTTCAAGAGTTATGTACATTGTCACATGAAATGTAATTGATGATAAAAAATAAGTATTTGAAGTTTGAGGTAGATACCTTTAAAACTAAAAAAGTCATAGTAAATTCTAGTAAGAAAAATCTAAGTTTATGGGGAGATAATTCTTGCAATATTGGTGCTAGAGTTATGAACCTTGTCACATAAGATGTGGATGATGATAAGGTACATATATTTGAAGTATGAAGTTGATCCATTAAGAAATAAAGAAGTAACAGTAAAAAATAGTATTTTTTCAGGAAAATTCTAAGTTCAAGGGGAGATAAATCTAAAAATATTAGTGCTAGAGTTATGAACCTTACACATAAGATGTGGTTGATAATAAGGAACATATATCTGAAGTTTGAAGTTGATACCTTAAGAAATGACAAAGTTATAGTGAAAAATATTTTACTGCACCAAAACTTTAATCTGAAATCTGGACGCTGACGCCACCGCCGACATTGGGGACTTCGTATAGTCGAGCTAAAAATGAAAATATTGAAATGAAAAAGATACTAACCTTTTTCAGGAGGGGAGCAAGTCTTGCTTGTAGTGTTTGTTACATAGCCACTATCAACAGAATCATTCACTTGACCTAAACTAACCTGTATTAAAATTAACATTAATATAATACATGTATATTTGTATATATTTTATTCACAAGGCTACCATTCAGCTTTTTCATGCACTTGCAATTCTAGTTACAATTAAAATAAATTTTAAAAGTAAACCTGGAAATTCAAAATAGATCTATAGACATATACCCTTAGTATGTCCCACATTGACTTTAATATTTACTTATGTTTACTATCAACATATTGATGAACTACTAACAATGATAAAGTGTATGGCATAATCCAACTTATGAGGTAAGAGAACCTATTTTTTTAAAATAATAACTGTATTTTTATTGCGATTCAGTCAAATATCTGAAAACAATGCAGCCCATGAATTGGAATATAAAAACTACCTGTGAATAAGAATCAACTGACGGACTCTCGGATCCTGCTCGATCCTGTAGATTATTGATCCAAGCCTGAATACTCAACAGTTTGTCTTTATCCCCAATAAACAATTTATACTCGGCATTATTGTTACGATCAAAATCTGAACCCTCTTCCGGCAGCTTGGGCACACGTTCCTCGCCAACATGCTGAACTGGTGCACTTCTACTTACATTTGAGTCACGAGTTGATGGAGTTAATTTACGAATGCATTGAGCAGTGTTTGTGTTAGTAACTGGTTCTGTTTTACCTAATGTCTCTGTGTTAGTTGCGTGTGTCTTTTTAACTAATGAACTAACGCTATCGCGTGAATGACAAGATCTGACAACTCTACGTTTGTCTTCACCTACATATAAATATGTGTCTAGTGAACATTCTTCCTTATTTACCTGGCTGTTTATTTTTTTCTTTATCTTTGATTGAGGATCGTCTGAAAGGTCTATTATTTCTTCCCGTTTATCGAAATTCGGGCACTGAATTTCGGTGCCGGTCTTCCGCCTCTTGACTGCCTGTATATCATCTGTCAAGTTTCTGCTTGAATTCATGTCTTTCGTATTTTCATGACCACGTTTCCCTACATTTAAGATAGTCCTCAAGTCTTTACCCGCAGATTTTGAATATTCCTCATTTTTCTGCGCGCAGCTTTTGTTTGTAGAACAGATGACTTTGGCAATTCCGGCACTTTTCTTCGGATACTTAATTGGGGACAATTTTTTGTTATCAAGGTATGACACATCTTTAGCCACATTTTGTTTTGTATATGAAGGCTTATATGATTTAAATGTCACCGGTTGTTGCGATTTTGAGGATGTTTGCGGATTACTTTTAACTTTTTGCTGTAAACAGTTGCCTAATGAACAATCAGGTTTTTTATAATGATGGTAACTTTGACTAACATGAGCAGAATCTTCTTTTTTATCATTGTGCAAATCTTTCTGTACAGAAGTTACAGTCTTTATACCTGTTCCTGCATATTGACAAACTTTTTTCACACTGTAAGGCTGATACTGGCTTTTCACCTGGCCTGAAAACTTTTTATCTGGACTGTACTGACATTGGCTTTTTGACTGGCCTGAAAACTTTTTATCTGGACTACGCTGATATTGACTTTTTGCCTTGCCTGAAAACTTATTATCAAGACAGGGCTGAAATTGAGTTTTGGCCTGGCCTGAAAACTTTTTATCAGGACTACGCTCATATTGGCTTTTGGCCTGGCCTGAAAACTTTTTATCAGGACTGCGCTGATATTGGCTTTTGGCCTGGCCTGAAAACTTATTATCAGAACAGGACTGGTGTTGACTTTTGGCCTGGCCTGAAAACTTATCGTCAAGTACACCTCTTTTCAACTTCGACATTTTACCATCATCGCCCGCTTGTGTGCTTCTTCGACACTTAAGTTGAGATAAAGTATGTGGTTTCAATGAATTTCTACCAGGACATTCTAAAGCAATGTTACGAGTTTCTCTTTCAGACGAGCTTTTTTTATAACTATCACGTGTATTACAAGCACTGGTATCATGGTGTTTATTAAGACTAGATTTGAACTGATTGTGTGTGTCGGGCGACTGTGAGGTTTGTTGCGGAGATGTTGTAGAAACGGGAAATTTCTCTGGTGACACAGCATCAACTACGAGTGACGTTGCTGTTAAAACTGGAGCAGCCGTCGTGTTTGCATTCCCACTCTGCAATGAACGAAGAAATTTTACAAATAAAAGAGTGATGTGCATTGTGGATTTTTAGAAATGAAAGTCCAGGATAATTTTTAGATAAAAAATAAAAGAACGAAGAAATTTTACAAATAAAAGAGTGATGTGGACATTTAGTAAAGAAAGTTCCTGCATTTTTAGACACACAGTACACTAATCTGCTACCTGCCATGATTTATATACATTATTCTCCACTATTCCAGCTTCATAGAAAATATATTGCACTGCTTTATTACTAGATACTATTAAAATAAACATTTTTTGTTTTATTATAAATTTGACTATTTATTGTCATAGCAACCATGTACTGTATTTGTAAATATGGCAATAGAATGAAGTGAAATGTAAAATGTCTATGTAAAATATTTTCAATTTATTCATTGCTAGATGAAATTAATTAATTTCTAACATTTTTGCTGTAGAGTTTGTCTTGTTCCCATGGCATTAGTTTAAAGATCTTGTATGTTGTGAGCAAAGTGGTTAACCACACTCAATGAAATTATACATATGTATATAAATATGCTAATAAAACAATTTTCAAAGTTGAAACATCAAAGAATATGTAAAATATGAACTGCGAAAAATTGTACATATTATATGTAATCATTAAATTAAAAATATATGCATTCATTTCTTATTGGAAAATTTGACTTAAACTTCATAGGAAATCAATTTCTAAGTACCTCTGTTTATTACATGAAATGTTAAATTCAGTAATATCTTTTTATAAATTATGCTTTTTGGAACCTACAATATTGAAAAATCTTAATTTGTGCATCATATTTATGATTTAAAACCATAAAAATTTGTGTTACAGGATCTATAATATAAATAAAATTCTGCATGTCTTTTGTCCATGTCAAAATATATTGATTAAAATTTTTCAAGTTAACAATTATTTACCTGTATTCTGTAAAAGCTCTGTTATGTACACTGTATAGCAGTGTTTATTCTAAGATTTGAAAAACAGGGGGATTTTTATCGAAAATTGAGAATTTATTACATTAATTTTGTTGATCTTTTTCCTTCTTTGTCTATGTAAAATTTTCCCCCTTCCTCTAAAAAAATAGGGGTGAATTCTCAAAACTATGGTTGAATCCCCTATCGCCCCTCTAGAATAGACACTGTATAGTTACATTTGAGCCGCGTCACGACAAAACCAACATAATGGGTTTGCGACCAGCATGGATCCAGACCAGCCTGGGCATCCGCGCAGTCTGATCAGGATCCATGCTGTTCCCTTACCAACTCTATTACAAGTAGAGAAACTGATAGCGAACAGCATGGATCCTGATCAGACTGCACGGATGCGCAGGCTGGTCTGGATCCATGCTGGTCGCAAACCCATTATGTTGGTTTTGTCGTGACGCGGCTCATTTATAGTTACAGTAGTTTATATCTATCTATGCTAAGTATCTAAAAAAAACTTGTCCATCTTTCAATCTGGACATAGCTATTAATCATTTTTTACGGAAAATTAAAAGACTTTATAGATACTATAGATATATAAAACTTTAAAAATACCAGCTTTATAAATACTGGGAAAAAAACTTTAAAAAATACCAGCTTTATAAATACTGGGAAAAAATATATAAATACCACATAATGCTGAAGAAGATCTGGAAATTCCCAAGAACTTGCCCCGGAGTTTACATTGAAATAATAAACCCTGTCTGGATATGTTTTTGACTGCTTCACAATCCAACCAAATGGCAGCTCAGCTTTTTTGTCATCCATCTGAAATATAAAAAATACAAAGAGCTGTCTTTCTTGGCACTTATTTCATCAGATACTACTGTACATTTATGATTTGCTATTTATATTGGAAATTAATATTAAAAATTTGAAAAGTTTGTATGATGGTTTTTGTATTCTCTGATCGCAGATCAGGAAATACAATGCTGACATTCAATCTCTGGCACAAAATTTCACGACAAACCTAACGCAGCTTAAAACTAACAATGTAAAAGAAAGAAATATTTGGTTTTTTTTACAAGTATCCAACAAATTACAACGCATTCAAAGTTTAAAAGTAGCGTTGGCTTATAGAATTGTCAATAAATGCACAATCATAAATTACGCAGATGAATATCATTTCAATCAATGAAAATGCTATTTTTAGCGATGTTGATTATCAAATACTTCAGAGCGTTTAAGTACAGAAATAAATCTGACTGTCGAGTAGTGGAATATATACATGTCGGACTGTTTTGGTGAAAAGATTTTCCCTAAAATATTTACATCAGTGTTCAACAACAGGTTTATCGTGAACAAAATATCTCGAAATTAATAAGGATTACAAACCCGAAATGGAAATTCTAAATATAGAATTATTTGATTTTATTCAAGCTTTCTTCGTATAACTTCCCATGGTGCAGGGGTAACGCGCTCGTTTAGGGTGTGAGAGGTCTGGGGTTCAAATCCCAGTCGAGGCATCTAGTGTCTTTTTTAAGGATGTAGCCACGATATGCAAGGATAAAGTGTGGCTGTCATGAAAAAATGAACATAAATGATTTTTTGATGCAACTCTAGTCATACCAAATTCGGTACATGTATGACATTGTATCAAACTCAAACTGTTATAGTAAAAAATCTAAGCGCAGTAGCTGTATCTCGGTGCCCTGTAAGATGAATTATAGTATATAAAAATAAACTTATATAGGAAAATACATACAGATATACAGTACGATTTAGATTGCAAAGATCAGAAAATACCACAGAGATTGCAGCCCTTTGATTAAGCTTAAGCAAGTGCTTTTTGTTATGTATGACTGATGCCCTTTGTAAAGACAGACATGTTATATCTATGAATAAACAGTTTAACCCATAACTCCATGAATATTTTATGAAAAATGGCTGTTTTCATTGAAAAGCCTCCTGTTGAAAGTTCAAGTTGCTACGAAACTATTTATAAATAATGCTTTTAATGCTGATCAAACTACATGTAGGCACAAATGATTACTGGACCTTTGCCTTTGTAACGGCATGCTCAATATTATATTTTATGTTACCATGGAAATGAGGGGACATCTCCAAACTGCCAAAAATCGCTATTTTGCGTTGAATTTTTCCATTAAAACTGATTTCAAAGTGCTGCAACCTCGCATAATGGATTAAGATAAGAGTCAAAGAGTTAGACTTTTCAGTTCTGGTTACACCTTCTTAAGATCGACATAAGGCCATTTTGAGCCTCTCACAAGTACAAAATTTTCTTAACATTGAGGGGGAGGTAGCCCCCTTCAAACCCCCTTGCAGAAGAGGGCATATCCATCCTCTGGTAGCATGGGACCCCATATTATCGTCATACTTAGGTTTTTCTATATGTCTGTGATGAATTTAATAGTCCATATTTTGTGTGAAGTAAAACAAATTCAACTTATCATTACATGTCTTATTAAATGAGGTCAAAAATTTTGATTTCACCGTATCCATGACCACTCCTGACAAAATACTGAGAGTACGCCGGTAATAAAGTTGCGCCGATAATACAGAGTAAGAGTATATGAATCTTTTTGATAGGGGGCGGCGCAAAAAAAGTATTGACTTTCATTTCTCAAACATAAAAAGTGTTTGAGCCCTAAGAGGGACATTTTTTCACGATTTCACGTATAAAGGGTGGGGTTGACAGTGCGGTAAATTGCGTATATAAGAGGTAAAGTGTTAATACTGTAGTCGAAATATTTGATCGCGAAAACATGTTACTTTACACATTATTGCTGTCAACGACAATTTCTAATTCTAAATACAAGCAGTATTTCTAAATATATCACTAACACGCATAACTGCAGCTTATAGTTTCAGTTCAATCTACCTACAGAGTAATTAACGAAAACAAAAACAAATGAAAGTTAACAGAATTTCAGAAAAAGGCGAATTTTACAGTAGACACCAAGTTACTGTTATTAATATAATTAGAAATAAGAAAAATGGATTTACATTGGACACAAATAATATGTTAATCTTTTAATTTATCAGGTAATTTGTGCACTAAGCTGACATGATACATTATTTTCACATCTTTGAATCGTGTACATTTCAGTTCAGTTGGGTACATGTAGTAGGTTCGACACCACCAAATATTTTCCTCCCTTATATTATATAGATCTATTGCTATCTTCTCCATCAGCGTGTCCTGCGCTACCCTTTCTAATTCCCAATGGTAGAATAGAAGCTTTCTGAAGCTTTTTGAAAGATCCTAGCTCTAACAATGGTAGTATAGCAACTGAGGCAATGTAAAGACATCTTCAAAATTATTCAATGAATATTAGATCAAATGAAATTATTTATTCATATTCCGATTTACGTTTTCGGCCGGAGAAGTATATACACATATACTAATATCTAGAATACAATGGCAAAACTGTATAGCTGTTTTAGAAGTGTGTTCTCATAATACAGTGACCTCTGATGATTTAACACTCACCCAGCTTAGATTTAACACACTCAAACACACTATTATTTAAATCACAATATCACTTACTCAAACTAAATCACACTCACACACACTCACATGCACTCACGCTAGTTACACTCACTAACTGGCTCTTTCCCTCAATATCTATTTCCCTCACTAACTCGTTAATTCACTCATTCTTTTACTAACTCTTTCTTAATCTCACTCATTCTTTAATAAAGCCACTAATTCTTTAACTCTTTCACTCTTTAACTCACTCATTATTTGGCTCACTCATTCTGTAACTCTTAAACTCACTCATTCACTCACTCGCACATCAACTTATTCACTTATGCATTAACTAACTCACTAAAGATCCTTGCATTGCATTGTCGTTTTTAGTATTGGCGATTAATTCTCTATGTATACTCTTAGATAGACTGAAAACATTTCCGCTGAAACTCCGTCCTTCTGAAACATAACATTTATAACATTTAAAGGGAAGTAACACAACTACAAGTCTGAAATATTTCTAAATAAGTTATCTTCTTTGAAACCATAACAGGCACGAAAGAGGGGTACATGTATTATAAATTCATGAAAACGTGATCAAGCGGATCCAATTGCCAAAAACGTGCGTGTAAGATCACGTTCACGTCAGGCCAAGTGAGTCATTTAAAAATAAACGCTGTACATCCTAAAAAATCAAATAGTGATCCAGAAGAGTGTGTTACTTAAATTTAGAGGTTTCTCTTTACAGCAAAAAAGGCATAAAGGTCTAACCCAAGGAAGATGACCTCGAGAGGCCCGTGTGACATGGTCGTTTTTGGACTGATGATTTTATTTTTCTGTATATAAAATGTATTAATTTTCGAAATTGACATCATTTTCTGGTTTCAATCGATCAACATCATTTGTGATTCCGTTGCGGATTAGCTTTCCCCTTTAGTTTGGAGTTTCCTCATACAACAAAATAAGGATTAAAGCTCTAAATCAAGGAAAATGCCATTGAGATGCCCAAATGGCATTATCGGTTTTGGACCACTCACTTAATTTTGTTTTTAATTATCATCATTAGTTAGGGTACGACTGTAATATTCAACAGAGATATTTTTGGCCTTTGCTATGTCCTTTGGTCAAAGTGCGCATATTTTGTATACTTTTTGTTAGTTGAAATCTCTCACTCAAGAACAATTGCTTGTTGGTGACATTTTTTTTGACACAAAAGGTCTGTTAAAATGCCTTCAAACAAAACAAATTATTGAATAAAACCTTTAAAAATATAGCAAAGGTGTTTTGTGTAAAAGTTGTCTTCGATTTTTTACTCTATTGTTTTAACAGTTTTGGGATGCTGTTATCTAGCATAATTATGATATTAACTCAGCATGGTTGGCATTTAAAGAGATTTGTATGGAAATGTTTAACAATTATAACATGACTGTTGTTCCCAATAAAGAAATCAAACTTAAAGATTATACTATGCTCAAATTTGATATTAGAATATATTGATAATTGCTACATAGTCTCTTTGTAAGTATGAAATATACACACAAAGTAGATATTTTATGTTTAACACTCTTCACACTATAAATGGTAAAAATACAGGGCCGGATCCAGGAATTTTGGGCGGGGGGCTTATGTTGCAAGACCAAACTCCTTTTTTAAAGGGGGTCTGTCCTGGGAAAAATGAAATCTACATGTTAAATGGTGGCTTCTGTTGCATTTTAGGTGCACATTTTGAAATGGAAGTGTCTATATATTTTTTTTTCACAAAAATTCAGACTTGATTAATTTTGGGTTGAAATTACATGTCATTTTTGCAAAAGTGGAAGACAAAAAAACTTCATGTTAACTGATTTTTAGGGGAAAACTATGATTTTTAAAGAATTTTCCAGACGGGCAGATGTCTTAAAATGGTCCTGCTATAGAAAGGAAAATCCCTGATAATATAACATATTTAGCCTAAAAGGTAATGCTTTAGAAATGCTTTTGATTAAACATTTAAACCATTTTCACTTCAGTATTTGATATAGATAAAAAAAAGAGTTAAAATTAGCTGAATGTGATATATATAAAAATCATCGCATTCAAGGGAACTATTTCTAATTCACCAGTGCATGTATTTAGATCTACTAAGAGTACATAACCTAATTTAATCAGTATTATGTAGATGCTTACTGTGCTTTTACATTGACCAAGAGTAATCTACGAAAAGCTTCTGCATGACCAGGAGAATAAAATCTAAGACATTTTATTGACGAATTGCCGAGAGGCATGCAATGTCTTGACTGAAAGAATGTTATGACAGGAAGCTCAGCAGGGGTCCGGGCTAAAAAAACCAAGGCTTTAGTAAGAACTGCAAAGATTTCAATAAATTTCTGTGATTAAAATATTTTATTTAAAGATGAGCATAGTTTTTCTTTCAACAATCTATTAAACCTTTGATGTCCTTCAAAAAAAAATTAACTGATTAAGCAGAGATGCATACCATTATAAAAATAAGGCTCAAAGAAAGATTTTAAACTTTTCAGTAAAATAAGATATAATTTACAACAGGGTCTTTCAAATAAATTCTATTTGACAGATAAAAAGTTCAAGAATATCTTTTTCTGATAAAGTTGAAAGAAAAAAACAGATTATATCCCAAAAAAACTTTGGAAGGGTTTGAATTATCTCGGATATGATTTCAATCCACAGAAGTCAGAAGAATATCAAAGTGATGCTCTTGTAAAAATTAATGGTGGAAATTCTCATGAGCCGGCCTCTGTGACAAATCATTTCAATGTTATTGTTTTTTTGGTTTTTGTTTTTTTACGATTATATAAAGCTGCCTTCTTGATATGATAAACCCTTGATTATCAAGCAGTTTTTATTCCAATTCAAGTACACAAAGGTAAGATTTTACTTAAAAAAAATCTTAATTATTGAGCGGCAACTTTCATTATAGCCATTGTCAACGTGTGTTATTATTGCTTCTAATATTCTGTGATTAAGTAAACGTGCTAAGATAATATAGCCAGTAAATGTCAAGCCCCTTAAACTATTGAGGTTATTTTATTATATTTTATTTATTTTATTATTGACATTATTGATTAAACTTATATTTAAAACCTTAACCTCAATTCGATCTATTTTTTTCTTATCAAAATAAAAATTTCTGATTCATCTTGTTCCTTTCTAGTTCATTGTACCCCATTTGATATGCACCGTCGAGCTTAATGGGTCTATCCTTTTAACCAAATGTCGCTTATCATTGTATATTAATTAATAATAATTATCATTCTGTGAATTTTGACTGAATAACTATTGATATATTAGTTATTCTCTTTTATAATATCTCAACATCCATGTTTAAATCACAGATATTAAAAACTTATTAATATTCTAGTCGTTTTTAAGTAAATGTGTGTGCTTTTAATCATAGTACTTCTGGTGTGTTGTAATCGTAATCTT